GTTTTGGACAGTGATTTTAACCCTAACACCAAAAAACTTAAACCTTACCCTAGCCCCAAAACCTAATACCCGGGTGTTACCTTCAGAAAGCCCGAAAACCCCAAATATTTTTTTTTTCATTTTACATTTTATTTTGGTCTAACTAACTCCAAAAGGTTGGAAAAGAGTTCCTACAAAGGTTTTGGACAGTGATTTTAACCCTCACGCCAAAAACCTTAAACCTTACCCTAGCCCCATAACCTAATACCTGGGTATTGCCTTCAGGAAGCCCAAACACCCCAAATATTTCTTTTTCATTTTACAATTTTTTTTAGGTCTAACTAACTCCATAAGGTTGGAAAAGAGTTCCTACAAAGGTTTTGGACAGTGATTTTAACCCTAACGCCAAAAACATTAAACCTTTCCATAGCCCCATAATCTAATACCTTCAGGAAGACCGAACACCCCAAATATTTTTTTTTCATTTTTCGTTTATTTTTGGTGTAACTAACTCCAAAAGGTTGGAAAAGAGTTCCTACAAAGGTTTTGGACAGGGATTTTAACCCTAACGCCAAAAACCTTAAACCTGACCCTAGCCTGATTACCCTGATACCTGGGTATTACCTTCAGGAAGCCCGAACACCCCAAATATGTTTTTTTATTTTTGATTTCTTTTCGGTCTAACTAACTCCAAAAGGTTGGAAAAGAGTTCCTACAAAGGTTTTGGACAGTGATTTTAACCTTAACTCCAAAAACATTTAAACCTTACCCTAGCCCCATTACCTAATACCCGGGTATTACCTTCAGGAAGCCCGAACACCCTAAATATTTCTTGTTCCTTTTTCTTTTTTTTTTTGGTTTAACTAACTCCAAAAGGTTGGAAAGGAGTTCCTACAAAGGTTTTGGACAGTGATTTTAACCCTAAAGCCAAAAACCTTACCCTAGCCCCATAACCTAATACCCGGGTATTACCTTCAGGAAGCCCGAACACCCCAAATATTTTTTTTTCATTTTTTGTTTTATTTTGGTCTAACTAACTCCAAAAGGTTGGAAAAGAGTTCCTACAAAGGTTTTGGACAGTGATTTTAACCCTAACGCCAAAAACCTTAAACCTTACCCTAGCCCCATAACCTAATACCCGGGTATTACCTTCAGAAAGCCCGAAAACCCCAAACATTTTTTTTTCATTTTTCATTTTTTTTAGGTCTAACTAACTCCAAAAGGTTGGAAAAGAGTTCCTACAAAGGTTTTGGACAGTGATTTTAACCCTAACGCCAAAAACCTTAAACCTTACCCTAGCCCCATAACCTAATACCCGGGTATTACCTTCAGGAAGCCCGAACACCCCAAATATTTCTTGTTCCTTTTTCTTTTTTTTTTTGGTTTAACTAACTCCAAAAGGTTGGAAAAGAGTTCCTACAAAGGTTTTGGACAGTGATTTTAACCCTAACGCCAAAAACCTTACCCTAGCCCCATAACCTAATACCCGGGTATTACCTTCAGGAAGACCGAACACCCCAAATATTTTTTTTTCATTTTTTGTTTTATTTTGGTCTAACTAACTCCAAAAGGTTGGAAAAGAGTTCCTACAAAGGTTTTGGACAGTGATTTTAACCCTAACGCCAAAAACCTTAAACCTTACCCTAGCCCCATAACCTAATACCCGGGTATTACCTTCAGGAAGCCCAAACACCCCAAACATTTTTTTTTCATTTTTCGTTTTTTTTTAGGTCTAACTAACTCCAAAAGGTTGGAAAAGAGTTCCTACAAAGGTTTTGGACAGTGATTTTAACCATAATGCCAAAAACCTTAAACCTTACCAAAGCCCCATAACCTAATACCTGGGTATTACCTTCAGGAAGCCCGAACACCCTTAATATTTCTTTTTCATATTTCAATTTTTTTTGGTTTAACTAACTCCAAAAGGTTGGAAAGGAGTTCCTACAAAGGTTTTGGACAGTGATTTTAACCCTAACGCCAAAAACCTTAAACCTTACCCTAGCCCCAAAACCTAATACCCGGGTGTTACCTTCAGAAAGAACGAAAACCCCAAATATTTTTTTTTTCATTTTTCATTTTTTTCTGGTCTAACTAACTCCAAAAGGTTGGAAAAGAGTTCCTACAAAGGTTTTGGACAGTGATTTTAACCCTAACGCCAAAAACCTTAAACCTTTCACTAGCCCCATAACCTAATACCCGGGTATTACCTTCAGGAAGCCCGAACACCCCAAATATTTCTTTTTCATTTTACAAATTTTTTTTTTGGTGTAACTAACTCCAAAAGGTTGGAAAAGAGTTCCTACAAAGGTTTTGGACAGTGATTTTAACCCTAACGCCAAAAACCTTACCCTAGCCCCATAACCTAATACCCGGGTATTACCTTCAGAAAGACCGAACACCCCAAACATTTTTTTTTCATTTTTCGTTTTTTTTAGGTCTAACTAACTCCAAAAGGTTGGAAAAGAGTTCCTACAAAGGTTTTGGACAGTGATTTTAACCATAATGCCAAAAACCTTAAACCTTACCAAAGCCCCATAACCTAATACCTGGGTATTACCTTCAGGAAGCCCGAACACCCCAAATATTTCTTTTGCATTTTACAATTTTTTTTTTGGTTTAACTAACTCCAAAAGGTTGGAAAAGAGTTCCTACAAAGGTTTTGGACAGTGATTTTAACCCTAACGCCAAAAACCTTAAACCTTACCCTAGCCCCATAACCTAATACCCGGGTATTACCTTCAGAAAGCCCGAAAAACCCCAAATATTTTTTTTTTCATTTTTCATTTTATTTTGGTCTAACTAACTCCAAAAGGTTGGAAAAGAGTTCCTACAAAGGTTTTGGACAGTGATTTTAACCCTAACGCCAAAAAATTTAAACCTTACCCTAGCCCCATAACCTAATACCTGGGTATTACCTTCAGGAAGCCCGAACACCCCAAATATTTCTTTTTCCTTTCCTTTTTTTTTTTTGGTCTAACTAACTCCAAAAAGGTTGGAAAAAAGTTCCTACAAAGGTTTTGGACAGTGATTTTAACCCTAACGCCAAAAACCTTAAACCTTACCCTAGCCCCAAAACCTAATACCCGGGTATTACCTTCAGGAAGCCCAAAACCCCAAATATTTTATTTTTCATTTTTCATTTTTTTTGGGTCTAACTAACTTAAAAAGGTTGGAAAAGAGTTCCTACAAAGGTTTTGGACAGTGATTTTAACCCTAACGCCAAAAACCTTAAACCTTACCCTAGCCCCATAACCTAATACCCGGGTATTACCTTCAGGAAGCCCAAACACCCCAAATATTTCTTTTTCATTTTACAATTTTTTTTTTGGTCTAACTAACTCCAAAAGGTTGGAAAAGAGTTCCTACAAAGGTTTTGGACAGTGATTTTAACCCTAACGCCAAAAACATTAAACCTTTCCATAGCCCCATAATCTAATATCTTCAGGAAGACCGAACACCCCAAATATTTTTTTTCATTTTTTGTTCATTTTTGGTGTAACTAACTCCAAAAGGTTGGAAAAGAGTTCCTACAAAGGTTTTGGACAGTGATTTTAACCCTAACGCCAAAAACCTTACCCTAGCCCCAAAACCTAATACCCGGGTATTACCTTCAGGAAGCCCGAACACCCCAAACATTTTTTTTTCATTTTTTGTTTTATTTTGGTCTAACTAACTCCAAAACGTTGGAAAAGAGTTCCTACAAAGGTTTTGGACAGTGATTTTAACCCTTACGCCAAAAACCTTAAACCTGACCCTAGCCTGATTACCCTGATACCTGGGTATTACATTCAGGAAGACCGAACACCCCAAATATTTTCTTTTCATTTTTTGTTTTATTTTGGTCTAACTAACTCCAAAACGTTGGAAAAGAGTTCCTACAAAGGTTTTGGACAGTGATTTTAACCCTAACGCCAAAAACCTTAAACCTTACCCTAGCCCCAAAACCTAATACCCGGGTATTACCTTCAGGAAGCCCAAAACCCCAAATATTTTATTTTTCATTTTTAATTTTTTTTGGGTCTAACTAACTCCAAAAGGTTGGAAAAGAGTTCCTACAAAGGTTTTGGACAGTGATTTTAACCCTAACGCCAAAAACCTTAAACCTTACCCTAGCCCCATAACCTAATACCCGGGTATTACCTTCAGGAAGCCCGAACACCCCAAATATTTTTTTTTCATTTTTCATTTTTTTTGGTCTAACTAACTCCAAAAGGTTGGAAAAGAGTTCCTACAAAGGTTTTGGACAGTGATTTTAACCCTAACGCCAAAAACCTTAAACCTTACCCTAGCCCCATAACCTAATACCCGGGTATTACCTTCAGGAAGCCCGAACACCCCAAATATATTTTTTTTCATTTTTCATTTTTTTCTGGTCTAACTAACTCCAAAAGGTTGGAAAAGAGTTCCTACAAAGGTTTTGGACAGTGTTTTTAACCATAATGCCAAAAACCTTAAACCTTACCAAAGCCCCATAACCTAATACCTGGGTATTACCTTCAGGAAGCCCGAACACCCTTAATATTTCTTTTTCATATTTCAATTTTTTTTGGTTTAACTAACTCCAAAAGGTTGGAAAGGAGTTCCTACAAAGGTTTTGGACAGTGATTTTTACCCTAACGCCAAAAACCTTAAACCTTACCCTAGCCCCATAACCTAATACCCGGGTATTACCTTCAGGAAGCCCGAACACCCCAAACATTTTTTTTTCATTTTTCGTTTTTTTTTGGTCTAACTAACTCCAAAAGGTTGGAAAAGAGTTCCTACAAAGGTTTTGGACAGTGATTTTAACCCTTACGCCAAAAACCTTAAACCTGACCCTAGCCTGATTACCCTGATACCTGGGTATTACATTCAGGAAGACCGAACACCCCAAATATTTTCTTTTCATTTTTTGTTTTATTTTGGTCTAACTAACTCCAAAAGGTTGGAAAAGAGTTCCTACAAAGGTTTTGGACAGTGATTTTAACCATAATGCCAAAAACCTTAAACCTTACCAAAGCCCCATAACCTAATACCTGGGTATTACCTTCAGGAAGCCCGAACACCCTTAATATTTCTTTTTCATATTTCAATTTTTTTTGGTTTAACTAACTCCAAAAGGTTGGAAAGGAGTTCCTACAAAGGTTTTGGACAGTGATTTTAACCCTAACGCCAAAAACATTAAACCTTTCCATAGCCCCATAATCTAATATCTTCAGGAAGACCGAACACCCCAAATATTTTTTTTCATTTTTTGTTCATTTTTGGTGTAACTAACTCCAAAAGGTTGGAAAAGAGTTCCTACAAAGGTTTTGGACAGTGATTTTAACCCTAACGCCAAAAACCTTACCCTAGCCCCATAACCTAATACCCGGGTATTACCTTCAGGAAGCCCGAACACCCCAAATATTTTTTTTTCATTTTTTGTTTTTTTTTGGTCTAACTAACTCCAAAAGGTTGGAAAAGAGTTCCTACAAAGGTTTTGGACAGTGATTTTAACCCTAACGCCAAAAACCTTAAACCTTACCCTAGCCCCATAACCTAATACCTGGGTATTACCTTCAGGAAGACCGAACACCCCAAATATTTTTTTTTCATTTTTTGTTCATTTTTGGTGTATCTAACTCCAAAAGGTTGGAAAAGAGTTCCTACAAAGGTTTTGGACAGTGATTTTAACCCTAACGCCAAAAACCTTAAACCTTACCCTAGCCCCATAACCTAATACCCGGGTATTACCTTCAGGAAGCCCGAACACCCCAAATATTTTTTTTCATTTTTAATTTTTTTTGGGTCTAACTAACTCCAAAAGGTTGGAAAAGAGTTCCTACAAAGGTTTTGGACAGTGATTTTAACCCTAACGCCAAAAACCTTAAACCTTACCCTAGCCCCATAACCTAATACCCGGGTATTACCTTCAGGAAGCCCGAACACCCCAAACATTTCTTTTTCATTTTTCGTTTTTTTTAGGTCTAACTAACTCCAAAAGGTTGGAAAAGAGTTCCTACAAAGGTTTTGGACAGTGATTTTAACCCTAACGCCAAAAACCTTAAACCTTACCCTAGCCCCATTACCTAATACCCGGGTATTACCTTCAGAGAGCCCGAAAACCCCAAAAATATATTTTTTTCATTTTTCATTTTTTTCTGGTCTAACTAACTCCAAAAGGTTGGAAAAGAGTTCCTACAAAGGTTTTGGACAGTGATTTTAACCCTAACGCCAAAAACCTTAAACCTTACCCTAGCCCCATAACCTAATACCCGGGTATTACCTTCAGGAAGCCCGAACACCCTTAATATTTCTTTTTCATATTTCAATTTTTTTTGGTTTAACTAACTCCAAAAGGTTGGAAAGGAGTTCCTACAAAGGTTTTGGACAGTGATTTTAACCCTAACGCCAAAAACCTTAAACCTTACCCTAGCCCCAAAACCTAATACCCGGGTGTTACCTTCAGAAAGAACGAAAACCCCAAATATTTTTTTTTTCATTTTTCATTTTTTTCTGGTCTAACTAACTCCAAAAGGTTGGAAAAGAGTTCCTACAAAGGTTTTGGACAGTGATTTTAACCCTCACGCCAAAAACCCTAAACCTTTCACTAGCCCCATAACCTAATACCCGGGTATTACCTTCAGGAAGCCCGAACACCCCAAATATTTCTTTTTCATTTTACAAATTTTTTTTTTGGTGTAACTAACTCCAAAAGGTTGGAAAAGAGTTCCTACAAAGGTTTTGGACAGTGATTTTAACCCTAACGCCAAAAACCTTACCCTAGCCCCATAACCTAATACCCGGGTATTACCTTCAGGAAGCCCGAACACCCCAAATATTTTTTTTTCATTTTTCATTTTTTTTTTTTGGTCTAACTAACTCCAAAAGGTTGGAAAAGAGTTCCTACAAAGGTTTTGGACAGTGATTTTAACCATAATGCCAAAAACCTTAAACCTTACCAAAGCCCCATAACCTAATACCTGGGTATTACCTTCAGGAAGCCCGAACACCCCAAATATTTCTTTTGCATTTTACAATTTTTTTTTTGGTTTAACTAACTCCAAAAGGTTGGAAAAGAGTTCCTACAAAGGTTTTGGACAGTGATTTTAACCCTAACGCCAAAAACCTTAAACCTTACCCTAGCCCCATAACCTAATACCCGGGTATTACCTTCAGGAAGCCCGAAAAACCCCAAATATATTTTTTTTTTTTTTTTTTTTTTTGGTCTAACTAACTCCAAAAGGTTGGAAAAGAGTTCCGACAAAGGTTTTGGACAGGGATTTTAACCCTCACGCCAAAAACCTTAAACCGACCCTAGCCCCATAACCTATTACCTGGGTATTGCCTTCAGGAAGCCCGAACACCCCAAATATTTCTTTTTCCTTTCCTTTTCTTTTTTGGTCTAACTAACTCCAAAAGGTTGGAAAAGAGTTCCTACAAAGGTTTTGGACAGTGATTTTAACCCTAACGCCAAAAACCTTAAACCTTACCCTAGCCCCAAAACCTAATACCCGGGTATTACCTTCAGGAAGCCCAAAACCCCAAATATTTTATTTTTCATTTTTCATTTTTTTTGGGTCTAACTAACTCCAAAAGGTTGGAAAAGAGTTCCTACAAAGGTTTTGGACAGTGATTTTAACCCTCACGCCAAAAACCTTAAACCTTACCCTAGCCCCATAACCTAATACCTGGGTATTGCCTTCAGGAAGCCCAAACACCCCAAATATTTCTTTTTCATTTTACAATTTTTTTTAGGTCTAACTAACTCCATAAGGTCTGAAACATGTTCCTAAAAAGGTTTTGGACAGTGATTTTAACCCTAACGCCAAAAACATTAAACCTTTCCATAGCCCCATAATCTAATATCTTCAGGAAGACCGAACACCCCAAATATTTTTTTTCATTTTTTGTTCATTTTTGGTGTAACTAACTCCAAAAGGTTGGAAAAGAGTTCCTACAAAGGTTTTGGACAGTGATTTTAACCCTTACGCCAAAAACCTTAAACCTGACCCTAGTCTGATTACCCTGATACCTGGGTATTACATTCAGGAAGCCCGAACACCCCAAATATGTTTTTTTATTTTTGATTTCTTTTCGGTCTAACTAACTCCAAAAGGTTGGAAAAGAGTTCCTACAAAGGTTTTGGACAGTGATTTTAACCCTAACGCCAAAAACCTTAAACCTTACCCTAGCCCCATAACCTAATACCCGGGTATTACCTTCAGGAAGACCGAACACCCCAAATATTTCTTGTTCCTTTTTCTTTTTTTTTTTGGTTTAACTAACTCCAAAAGGTTGGAAAGGAGTTCCTACAAAGGTTTTGGACAGTGATTTTAACCCTAACGCCAAAAACCTTACCCTAGCCCCATAACCTAATACCCGGGTATTACCTTCAGGAAGCCCGAACACCCCAAACATTTTTTTTTCATTTTTCGTTTTTTTTAGGTCTAACTAACTCTAAAAGGTTGGAAAAGAGTTCCTACAAAGGTTTTGGACAGGGATTTTAACCCTAACGCCAAAAACCTTAAACCTTCCCCTAGCCCCATAACCTAATACCCGGGTATTACCTTCAGGAAGCCCGAACACCCCAAACATTTTTTTTTCATTTTTCGTTTTTTTTAGGTCTAACTAACTCCAAAAGGTTGGAAAAGAGTTCCTACAAAGGTTTTGGACAGTGATTTTAACCATAATGCCAAAAACCTTAAACCTTACCAAAGCCCCATAACCTAATACCTGGGTATTACCTTCAGAAAGCCCGAAAACCCCAAATATTTTTTTTTCATTTTTCATTTCTTTCGGGTCTAACTAACTCCAAAACATTGGAAAAGAGTTCCTACAAAGGTTTTGGACAGTGATTTTAACCCTAACGCCAAAAACCTTACCCTAGCCCCATTACCTAATACCCGGGTATAACCTTCAGAAAGCCCGAAAACCCCAAATATTTTTTTTTTCATTTTTCATTTCTTTCGGGTCTTACTAACTCCAAAACATTGGAAAAGAGTTCCTACAAAGGTTTTGGACAGTGATTTTGACCCTAACGCCAAAAACCTTAAACCTTACCCTAGCCCCATAACCTAATACCCGGGTATTACCTTCAGGAAGCCCGAACACCCCAAACATTTTTTTTACATTTTTCGTTTTTTTTAGGTCTAACTAACTCCAAAAGGTTGGAAAAGAGTTCCTACAAAGGTTTTGGACAGTGATTTTAACCCTAATGCCAAAAACCTTAAACCTTACCAAAGCCCCATAACCTAATACCTGGGTATTACCTTCAGGAAGCCCGAACACCCCAAATATTTCTTTTTCATTTTAAAAATTTTTTTTCGTTTAACTTACTCCAAAAGGTTGGAAAGGAGTTCCTACAAAGGTTTTGGACAGTGATTTTAACCCTAACGCCAAAAACCTTAAACCTTACCCTAGCCCCATAACCTAATACCCGGGTATTACCTTCAGGAAGCCCGAAAACCCCAAATATATTTTTTTTCATTTTTCATTTTTTTTCTGGTCTAACTAACTCCAAAAGGTTGGAAAAGAGTTCCTACAAAGGTTTTGGACAGTGATTTTAACCCTAACGCCAAAAACCTTAAACCTTTCCCTAGCCCCATAACCTAATACCTGGGTATTACCTTCAGGAAGCCCAAACACCCCAAATATTTCTTTTTCATTTTACAATTTTTTTTGGTCTAACTAACTCCAAAGGTTGGAAACAGTTCCTACAAAGGTTTTGGACAGTGATTTTAACCCTAACGCCAAAAACCTTAAACCTTACCCTAGCCCCATAACCTAATACCCGGGTATTACCTTCAGGAAGCCCGAACACCCCAAATATTTCTTTTTCATTTTACAATTTTTTTTTTGGTTTAACTAACTCCAAAAGGTTGGAAAAGAGTTCCTACAAAGGTTTTGGACAGTGATTTTAACCCTAACGCCAAAAACCTTAAACCTTACCCTAGCCCCATAACCTAATACCCGGGTATTACCTTCAGGAAGCCCGAACACCCCAAACATTTTTTTTTCATTTTTCTTTTTTTTAGGTCTAACTAACTCCAAAAGGTTGGAAAAGAGTTCCTACAAAGGTTTTGGACAGTGATTTTAACCCTAACGCCAAAAACCTTAAATCTTACCCTAGCCCCATAACCTTATACCCGGGTATTACCTTCAGGAAGCCCAAACACCCCAAATATTTCTTTTTCATTTTAAAATTTTTTTTTTGGTTTAACTTACTCCAAAAGGTTGGAAAGGAGTTCCTACAAAGGTTTTGGACAGTGATTTTAACCCTAACGCCAAAAACCTTAAACCTTACCCTAGCCCCATAACCTAATACCCGGGTATTACCTTCAGGAAGCCCGAACACCCCAAATATATTTTTTTTCATTTTTCATTTTTTTTTGGTCTAACTAACTCCAAAAGGTTGGAAAAGAGTTCCTACAAAGGTTTTGGACAGTGATTTTAACCCTAACGCCAAAAACCTTACCCTAGCCCCATAACCTAATACCCGGGTATTACCTTCAGGAAGCCCGAACACCCCAAATATTTTTTTTTCATTTTTTGTTTTATTTTGGTCTAACTAACTCCAAAAGGTTGGAAAAGAGTTCCTACAAAGGTTTTGGACAGTGATTTTAACCCTAACGCCAAAAACCTTAAACCTTACCCTAGCCCCATAACCTAATACCCGGGTATTACCTTCAGGAAGCCCGAAAACCCCAAATATTTTTTTTTCATTTTTCATTTTTTTTGGTCTAACTAACTCCAAAAGGTTGGAAAAGAGTTCCTACAAAGGTTTTGGACAGTGATTTTAACCCTAACGCCAAAAACCTTAAACCTTACCCTAGCCCCATAACCTAATACCCGGGTATTACCTTCAGGAAGCCCGAACACCCCAAACATTTTTTTTTCATTTTTCGTTTTTTTTAGGTCTAACTAACTCCAAAAGGTTGGAAAAGAGTTCCTACAAAGGTTTTGGACAGTGATTTTTTTTTATGATTAACATTTTTTATTTCCATTTTTCTTTTAAACAGTACAAACACAAACACAAAAACACAAAACATCCCTCCCTCCCTCCCCAAGTCACCACCAACTGCACTCATTCCTCTCTGGCTTGCAAAGTACGCCACTGTGCTACTCCTTGTACCACTTGCCTTGTTGGATCGGATGCATCAATGTAGCTAAACATAAAGCAATCACAATCTCTACTCAAATCATCGTTGAGATACAAGAAAATATATGAATAAAATAAGACAAAATAATAAATAAAAAAATATTAATAAGTATATAACAATAAATATAAATATACATACACATACTATAAAATAGAATAATAACTATAGTAATAGAAAATATACAATATATATACTATATGTAATTATAATTATATCAATTCACAAAATATAAATGATATGTACATAAAAATAAATAAATACATAAATAAATATATAAAAATAACTGAATACATACAAACACCTAATAAGCAAGTAATTTAAAATAATGGGTTAAAAAAAAAAGACTATAGATAGTAATGGAAGTTATAACAGAACAGGAGACATCATTAAAGTAACACCCATAACAACTTAATATATATGTATATATATTAACATCTAAATATACATGTATGCCCATGCATACACATATACACAGACACAAAAGGGTTAACAAATACAAATGGAAACAACAATAAAAAAAAAATAATAATAATAATAAATAAAATATATATATATATATATATATATATATATATATATATACATACATACACACACATATACATATATATATATATATATATATATATATATATATATATATACATACACATGTAGATGCATATACACATTATAATAATAATAATAATAATAATAGTAATAGTAATAGAAATAATAAATAAATGAGTAAATAACTGAATAAGCAAGTAAATAAATGTTTTGGACAGTGATTTTAACCATAATGCCAAAAACCTTAAACCTTACCAAAGCCCCATAACCTAATACCCGGGTATTACCTTCAGGAAGACCGAACACCCCAAATATTTTTTTTTCATTTTTTGTTTTATTTTGGTCTAACTAACTCCAAAAGGTTGGAAAAGAGTTCCTACAAAGGTTTTGGACAGTGATTTTAACCCTAACGCCAAAAACCTTAAACCTTACCCTAGCCCCATAACCTAATACCCGGGTATTACCTTCAGGAAGACCGAACACCCCAAACATTTTTTTTTCATTTTTCGTTTTTTTTAGGTCTAACTAACTCCAAAAGGTTGGAAAAGAGTTCCTACAAAGGTTTTGGACAGTGATTTTAACCCTAACGCCAAAAACCTTAAACCTTACCCTAGCCCCAAAACCTAATACCCGGGTATTACCTTCAGGAAGCCCGAACACCCCAAATATTTCTTTTTCATTTTTTGTTTTATTTTGGTCTAACTAACTCCAAAAGGTTGGAAAAGAGTTCCTACAAAGGTTTTGGACAGTGATTTTAACCCTAACGCCAAAAACCTTAAACCTGACCCTAGCCTGATTACCCTGATACCTGGGTATTACCTTCAGGAAGCCCGAACACCCCAAATATGTTTTTTTGTTTTTGATTTCTTTTCGATCTAACTAACTCCAAAAGGTTGGAAAAGAGTTCCTACAAAGGTTTTGGACAGTGATTTTAACCCTAACGCCAAAAACCTTAAACCTTACCCTAGCCCCATAACCTAATACCCGGGTATTACCATCAGAGAGCCCGAAAACCCCAAATATTTTTTCTTTCATTTTTCATTTTTTTCTGGTCTAACTAACTCCAAAAGGTTGGAAAAGAGTTCCTACAAAGGTTTTGGACAGTGATTTTAACCCTAACGCCAAAAACCTTAAACCTTACCCTAGCCCCATAACCTAATACCCGGGTATTACCATCAGAGAGCCCGAAAACCCCAAATATTTTTTTTTTCATTTTTCATTTTTTTCTGGTCTAACTAACTCCAAAAGGTTGGAAAAGAGTTCCTACAAAGGTTTTGGACAGTGATTTTAACCCTAACGCCAAAAACCTTAAACCTTACCCTAGCCCCATAACCTAATACCCGGGTATTACCTTCAGGAAGACCGAACACCCCAAACATTTTTTTTTCATTTTTCGTTTTTTTTAGGTCTAACTAACTCCAAAAGGTTGGAAAGGAGTTCCTACAAAGGTTTTGGACAGTGATTTTAACCCTAACGCCAAAAACCCTAAACCTTTTACTAGCCCCATAACCTAATACCCAGGTATTACCTTCAGGAAGACCGAACACCCCAAATATTTTTTTTTTCATTTTTTGTTTTATTTTGGTCTAACTAACTCCAAAAGGTTGGAAAAGAGTTCCTACAAAGGTTTTGGACAGTGATTTTAACCCTAACGCTAAAAACCTTAAACCTTACCCTAGCCCCATAACCTAATACCCGGGTATTACCTTCAGGAAGACCGAACACCCCAAATATTTCTTTTTCATTTTACAATTTTTTTTTTGGTTTAACTTACTCCAAAAGGTTGGAAAGGAGTTCCTACAAAGGTTTTGGACAGTGATTTTAACCCTAACGCCAAAAAACTTAAACCTTACCCTAGCCCCAAAACCTAATACCCGGGTGTTACCTTCAGGAAGCCCGAACACCCCAAATATTTCTTTTTCATTTTACAATTTTTTTTTTGGTTTAACTTACTCCAAAAGGTTGGAAAGGAGTTCCTACAAAGGTTTTGGACAGTGATTTTAACCCTAACGCCAAAAAACTTAAACCTTACCCTAGCCCCAAAACCTAATACCCGGGTGTTACCTTCAGAAAGCCCGAAAACCCCAAATATATTTTTTTTCATTTTTCATTTTTTTTCTGGTCTAACTAACTCCAAAAGGTTGGAAAAGAGTTCCTACAAAGGTTTTGGACAGTGATTTTAACCCTAACGCCAAAAACCTTACCCTAGCCCCATAACCTAATACCCGGGTATTACCTTCAGGAAGACCGAACATCCCAAATATTTTTTTTTCATTTTTTGTTTTATTTTGGTCTAACTAACTGTTCTGTCTTGGCTAAATGTGGTACACTTGAACGTCTACTTAGCTGTACAGAGAGCTAAACACTCTCCTGATCAAACTTAAAAGAACAGGCCGTTGGGTTGACTTTCGTTGTTTAATCAAGAAAAGTGTAAAACTGTTGGAAACAGAAAATACAATAATATATAACAAACATTTGCAAAACATAATTGCATACATCTAAAAACATTATAGAAAACATAAAAAACTTACAGACGATGCCTTTTGCAAACTTTGAAGGCGTGAATGGCGAGATGGCTGCTGCCGTGTGCTCCTCTGAAGGTGTGGCTTACAAAATGGCCGCCACCATGTGCTCTAACCAAAATACTGAGCCAAGAGGAAGTGACCCACATGGGACTTCCTGTCTCTAATACTGACAAAATAAAATACATAATACGACCACTAGGGCGCAATATATATAAAAAATAATAAGCCATCACACTCCCCACCTGGCATCTCAAGGATGTCACACTCAAGAAGACTTGACTGAGTCCTTTTGTATCAGGAGTATGACTTCAGACACTGGCCGTAAGAACAGTTTTGCCACACTGTCTCTGATGATCTTCACCTCAACCTTCCTGACCTTTCCGTCATTACTTGGAAAGGTCCTTGTGATTAGTCCTGTGGGCCAGTCGTGCCTCTTCACTGAGTTATCCTTTAACAGGACAACATCTCCGTCCATCAGATTAGGCCTCTCCATTCTCCATTTTGGCCTGCCTTGGAGACCGCTGAGGTACTCCCTCCTCCATCTCTCCCAGAATGTGTTGGCTAAACTTTGAACCTGTCGCCACTGACGTTTGAATAGGTCACCAGTGTCAAAGTCGCCAGGAGGGACTGGGGGCATCCCAGTCTTCTGCGTCAGCAGCATAGTAGGGGTTAGGATGTGAGGCTCGTCAGGATCTGTAGACACAGAAGTAAGTGGTCTGGAGTTGACTATAGCAGTGACTTCTGCCATAAACGTAGTCAAGACTTCATGTGTGAGCTTCGCAGACCCGGACTTGAGGAACATAGCATCGAGGATCCGACGTGCGACCCCGATCATCCGCTCCCAGCTGCCCCCCATATGCGAAGAGTGAGGGGGATTGAACAGCCACACACAACCCTGGTCAGAGAGATACTGGGAAATCGTCTTGTTATCACACCCCTTGGAGTCAATCTCAAGTTCTCGGCAGGCTCCTATGAAATTAGTTCCGCAATCGGACCGAAGTTGTTTCACAGGTCCCCTAATTGCGAAGAAGCGCCGAAGGGCGTTAATAAAACTGGATGAATCCATCGATTCGATGACCTCAATATGTATGGCACGCGTGCTCATACACGTGAAGATGATGGCCCAACGCTTGCTGTTCGCTAGTCCCCCACGTGTCCTCCTCGAGGTGACACACCATGGCCCGAACACATCCAGCCCTACAAAGGTGAACGGGGGGTCTGTGCTCAAGCGGTCAGCGGGAAGATCCGCCATCATCTGCTCTTGCTGCTTGCCGCGCAGTCTCCGACATGTCACACAGTTGTAAATCAAGCTGCTGACAGACCGCTTCCCTCCGACAACCCAAAAACCAGCACTCCTTAATGCTCCTTCTGTTAAGTGCCGTCCTTGGTGGCAGACGTGCTCGTGGTAATGTCTGATGAGCAGCGTGGCAACATGGTGTTTGCCAGGGATGATGATTGGCTGACTTTCATCCGGTGTGAGCTGCGCCTTCTTCAATCGCCCTCCGACACGCAGAAGACCTTCAGAATCAATGAAAGGGCAAAGGTCACTGAGGGCACACTGTTTCGGCACTGGTTCTCCCTTCTGGATCCAGTTGATTTCCTCAGAATAGGCCTGTCTTTGGACAGCAAGAATGATTCTGACCTTTGCCTGATTTAGCTGCTCTGGACTGAGGGGCAGCTTGCAGCTGTGCCATCCATGGCAGGGGCCGTCTTTTGCCGCTTTTGTGAAGGAATAGGCAATGTGAGAGAGTCGGGCAACGGCTCTGGAGAGCGACTTCCAACTCGAAAACCGCTTGAAGCGTTCACTGTCAAGCTGATGTGACAAACGTGTGGCACACGTCACTGCTTCTGGACGTATTTCCACATCTGATCCAGGGTCAACCAGGTTGAAGGCTTCCTGTTGCAAGTGGCCCTGCCGCTTGTCCACAAGGAAAACTGGTCCAGTTAACCAAGATGAAGCCGCAAGCTGATTGGCAGGTATGGCTCTGGTTGCATGGTCGGCGGGGTTGACATCAGAGGGAACATAGTTCCATTGGTCTTTGTTGGTTGAACGTCTGATTCGTTGCACTCGGTTATGAACATAGACATAAAACCGTCTTGAGTCGTTGAATATATAGCCAAGTACCACCTTGCTATCTGTGAAAAACCTGATGTCGTCAACCTCCATGTCCAGCTCTGCAGTTATAGCCTCTGCTACTTCTACTGCTAGAACGGCTGCGCAGAGCTCAAGCCTTGGGATGGTGATGTCAGGCTTAGGAGTCAACTTTGTTTTGCCAAACAGGAATCCAACTTCGCTATGTCCCATAGCATCTGTGGCCTTCAGGTAGGCGACGACAGCAATAGCTTTAATTGACGCATCGCAAAAGATGCAGATCTCTTTCCTCTGAGCTGTGGAGAGTGGGATTGAAGTGTAGATTCTTGGGATCTTCAACACTTTTAAATCTTCAAGAGAGGCACACCACCTCTGCCACTTCTCGAGCTTCTCCTGAGGGAGTGGCGCATCCCATTCACAAGTGTCGACAGTTAGTTCTCTCAAGATGGCACGACCCTGAACACTGACGGGAGCAGCAAACCCCAATGGATCAAACAAGCTGTTGATGATAGACAACACACCTCGACGTGTAAAGGGTTTTTCAGCAACAGCAACTCGGAAAGTCAGCGAGTCTGTGGCAAGATCCCATCCGAGACCCAGACTGCGCTGTATTGGGGGAGAGTCCTGACCCATGTCCAGGTCTTGTAGGCTGCTTGCCAGGTCCTCAGTCGGAAAAGCTCTGATAACCTCAACACTATTAGAGGCGATCTTGTGTAGTTTGAGGTTGGATTGAGCCAACATGTCCTGTGCACCTTTTAGTACCTTGATGGCATCTTCTGCACTGGGGAAAGATTTCAGGCCATCGTCGACGTAGAAGTGTCGGTGCATGAAGGTCGTCACTTCTGGTCCATAGTCCCCTTCGCCTTCCATGGCTGTCCTCTTCAGACCATAAATGGCCACAGCCGGTGAGGGACAATTACCGAACACATGAACCCTCATGCGATACTCCAACACTTCATCATCAAGTTGGTGGTTGCGAAACCACAAGAATCGGAGGTGGTCCCGATGATCCTCTCTCACTAGGAAGCTGTGAAACATCTGTTGGATGTCCGTCATCACAGCTACCGGATCCATCCTGAAACGCATGAGGACTCCCAGTAAGGTGTTGTTGAGGTCTGGGCCCTGCAAGAGTACATCGTTCAATGATATGCCCTTGAACTGCGCGCTTGAATCGAAGACGATCCTTATTTTCCCCGGTTTCTGGGGGCGGTAGACACCGAAGGTAGGTAAGTACCAGTACTCTTTGTCAGGCTCTGGTGGAGGAGCTGGCTCAGCATGTTCATTCCTAAAGATCTCTTCCATGAAGTCCACAAAATGACGCTTCATCTCCGGTTTCCTGTTTAAGGTGCGGCGGAGTGACATCAGCCGGCTGAGGGCTTGCTCCCGGTTATTTGGCAAACACGGCCTTGGACAGCGAAATGGGAGGGGAGCCACCCAGCTGTTGGAATCATCCTTCTTGAATCCCTCGTTCATGATCTGAAGGAAGATTTCATCCTCGATGGAGGGCGCAAGCTTTTCATCATCTTTCGAGTGGCTGAAGATCTGCTGGCCCAAACCTGGCTGGGTGGAGGTCAAAGTGGTAGGAGATGTGGGCTGCCCCCCACCAACTTTGTCCTTGAACACGATTCTGTTCTCACAAGGCTTGAAGTAACTGGGACGCCCATTCTCAAGGACATGGGTCTTGAATGTATTGACAGTTGGTCGGTGGGCCCCATCAAGGCAGACGTCGCCAACTATGACCCAACCCAGATCCAGCAGCTGGGCATAGGGCTCATCATGATGACCATTGCGCTGGCTACGCACCTTATGTACTCGGATGATGTCTCTGCCAAGTAGTAAAAGTATCTGAGCCGAATGGTCGAGAGGGGGGATCTTGTCAGCTATCGGTTTGAGATGCTTGTGGCTATGTGCAGCCTCCGGAGTAGGGATTTCGTCCCTGTTGTCGGGAATAAGGTTGCACTCGATAAGGGTTGGTAATGAAAGATGAAGCTCCCCATCAGCTGACTCCACCACGAATCCAGTAGCCCTCCTTCCAGCGGTGTCTGTGACTCCTGAGCACGTTTTGAGGGTGTAGGGGGAGGCCTCACTCTGGATACCAAACATGTCAAAGAACACTGATCTGGCTAGTGACACATTGCTTTGGTCGTCTAGCATCACATATGTCCTGATCTTTTGATCAGGGTGTCCCTTCGGATAGACATTAACCAGACAGATTTTCGAACAAGATTTACCTTGTAGACCCTCGCCACAAACCTCTGTGCATGAAGTGGTAGCTACGTCCGTGACACATGCAGTAGGCTCCCCACCATGCTCTGCAGTAGGTTCCCCACCAGGCTCTGCAGTAGGTCCGTCGGAACTCGTTGCCCAAGGTGCAGGTCCTGGATGGAGTGCTGAGATGTGTCGTTCACTGTCACATTCTGAGCAACGGGTTTCAGCTTTGCAAACCTTAGCCTGGTGCTTTGTTGAAGCACAACATTTGAAACATATGGAGTTCTCTAACAAGAAGCGTCTCCGCTCTATGAGTGATTTCTCCCGAAAACCTCGACATTTCTTGAGGGAATGAGGTTTCTTATGGAGAGGACATTGTCTGTCTGGATCCATGACAGGTTCTTCGGATGTGTGAAAAGTGGAGGGTTTTCCTACTTCAGTTTTAGTGACTGATATCGGAGGTCTGGTTTTCCAGTGTTTGTCCGAACACCCATCACCTTTGGACGCAGCTGAGCTGGAAAAAGCAAAGCTAGGATCATTCCTCATCTCAGCATAGTTGTAGACGAAATCTACGAAGAATGAGAAAGGGGGGTATGGAACCAGATGGTCTCTCTTATAGCGAGATCCCACACTCATCCACTGTTCTTGGATGTTGAGAGGCAGTTTCTCTACGACAGGGTTTATTCCCCTTGCTGTATCAAGAAACCCAAGTCCTGGCAAGTAACCCTCTTGTTTTGCAGCTTCAATCTCTAGGAGCAGGTCTCCAAGCTCCTGAAACTTCCGGTGATCTTTGTTTGAAAGCTTTGGGAACAGATCTAATCTTTTGAAGAGAGAAGCTTCAATAACCTCTGGAGAGCCATAGGTCTTGTCCAGCCTCCGCCAAACCATGTCCAAACCCATGGCTGGATTGTTAACGTGAACTGCTCTTATCCTCTTGGCATGGTGTAGTGACTCCCCACCAAGCCACTTGATGAGCAAGTCCAGTTCTTCACTTGGTTTGAGGTTTAGTCCTTCCATAGCATTGTTAAAGCTAGATTTCCAAGACAGATAACTAGCAGGCTGGTTATCGAACACTTTAAGTCCAGCTGTGACGAGATCTCGGCGAGCCAGATATACAGCTAATGCAGATACACCTTCAGCCTCTGGTTGTGAACGGTGTGGACGGTAGCTAGCATAATCTGTGTGACGCTGCTTATGGTGGCTTGTAGTATTTTCTGCTGTGTGATAGGCTGGAGCACCAGAGATATTTTTTCTCTGATTGGTTACCCTCGGAGCCTGAGCAGGAGGCGCTCGAGCGGGAAGAGCCTGAGCAGGAGGAGCTCGAGCAGGAGGCGCTCGAGCGGGAGAAGTCTGAGCAGGAAGACCTCGAGCAGGAGGAGCCAGAGGTTCTGGCTGCCGCATGTCGCGATATTCAATGTCTGAAGGGTGACTGGGTTGTAGCACAGGAAAATCCTCATTCTCTTTAGCAATTGGAGCTGAAGCATAGCTCGCACGACTCGAGAGGTTTAAATGTGCTTGGACGTACTCACCAGTGCACTGTAGTGAGTCCTTCAATGACTGAGCACGACTGGCTCTATCTTCTAGATCACAGTTCGTGGAATCCAAGGCTGCTTCATACACGTCAGCCTCTGCTGAGGCAGCCTCGGCTTCGCACTCTTCCTTAAGTGCATTCAATGAAGCTTCTATGCGTGCCTTCTCCACTTGCATATTTATTTGACGTTTTGCATAGACTGCTCGTGTGCGTGCCGCTTCTGCCTTGGCACGAGCTCGAGCAGCAATAACACTGGCTGAAGACTTATTCGAGCGGCTTGAAGACGATGAAGCCGATGCACCACATTCTGACCTAACCTCCAGATCCTTAGCGTCAATAGCATCGGGGCTAGGGCTTGACATTGTTGTGTAGGAGAGGCAGCTATATGAACAATCTATGTGAAGCAACTCTTGCTGTTGTAGACGTTAGCTGAGCAATGTGCCATTGATATTTCTTCACAGCTTGTTGATGGTTCGTCTTTTTACTGTTCTGTCTTGGCTAAATGTGGTTCACTTGAACGTCTACTTAGCTGTACAGAGAGCTAAACACTCTCCTGATCAAACTTAAAAGAACAGGCCGTTGGGTTGACTTTCGTTGTTTAATCAAGAAAAGTGTAAAACTGTTGGAAACAGAAAATACAATAATATATAACAAACATTTGCAAAACATAATTGCATACATCTAAAAACATTATAGAAAACATAAAAAACTTACAGACGATGCCTTTTGCAAACTTTGAAGGCGTGAATGGCGAGATGGCTGCTGCCGTGTGCTCCTCTGAAGGTGTGGCTTACAAAATGGCCGCCACCATGTGCTCAAACCAAAATACTGAGCCAAGAGGAAGTGACCCACATGGGACTTCCTGTCTCTAATACTGACAAAATAAAATACATAATACGACCACTAGGGCGCAATATATATAAAAAATAATAAGCCATCACACTAACTCCAAAAGGTTGGAAAAGAGTTCCTACAAAGGTTTTGGACAGGGATTTTAACCCTAACGCCAAAAACCTTAAACCTTACCCTAGCCCCGTAACCTAATACCCGGGTATTACCATCAGAGAGCCCGAAAACCCCAAATATTTTTTTTTTCATTTTTCATTTTTTTCTGGTCTAACTAACTCCAAAAGGTTGGAAAAGAGTTCCTACAAAGGTTTTGGACAGTGATTTTAACCCTAACGCCAAAAACCTTAAACCTTACCCTAGCCCCATAACCTAATACCCGGGTATTACCTTCAGGAAGACCGAACACCCCAAACATTTTTTTTTCATTTTTCGTTTTTTTTAGGTCTAACTAACTCCAAAAGGTTGGAAAGGAGTTCCTACAAAGGTTTTGGACAGTGATTTTAACCCTAACGCCAAAAACCCTAAACCTTTTACTAGCCCCATAACCTAATACCCGGGTATTACCTTCAGGAAGACCGAACACCCCAAATATTTTTTTTTTCATTTTTTGTTTTATTTTGGTCTAACTAACTCCAAAAGGTTGGAAAAGAGTTCCTACAAAGGTTTTGGACAGTGATTTTAACCCTAACGCTAAAAACCTTAAACCTTACCCTAGCCCCATAACCTAATACCTGGGTATTACCTTCAGGAAGCCCGAACACCCCAAATATGTTTTTTTGTTTTTGATTTCTTTTCGATCTAACTAACTCCAAAAGGTTGGAAAAGAGTTCCTACAAAGGTTTTGGACAGTGATTTTAACCCTAACTCCAAAAACATTTAAACCTTACCCTAGCCCCATTACCTAATTCCCGGGTATTACCATCAGAGAGCCCGAAAACCCCAAATATTTTTTTTTTCATTTTTCGTTTTTTTCTGGTCTAACTAACTCCAAAAGGTTGGAAAAGAGTTCCTACAAAGGTTTTGGACAGTGATTTTAACCCTACCGCCAAAAACCCTAAACCTTTCACTAGCCCCATAACCTAATACCCAGGTATTACCTTCAGGAAGCCCGAACACCCCAAATATTTCTTTTTCATTTTACAATTTTTTTTTTTTTGGTGTAACTAACTCCAAAAGGTTGGAAAAGAGTTCCTACAAAGGTTTTGGACAGTGATTTTAACCCTAACTCCAAAAACATTTAAACCTAACCCTAGCCCCATTACCTAATACCCGGGTATTACCATCAGAGAGCCCGAAAACCCCAAATATTTTTTTTTTCATTTTTCATTTTTTTCAGGTCTAACTAACTCCAAAAGGTTGGAAAAGAGTTCCTACAAAGGTTTTGGACAGTGATTTTAACCCTAACGCCAAAAACCTTAAACCTTACCCTAGCCCCATAACCTAATACCCGGGTATTACCTTCAGGAAGACCGAACACCCCAAACATTTTTTTTTCATTTTTCGTTTTTTTTAGGTCTAACTAACTCCAAAAGGTTGGAAAGGAATTCCTACAAAGGTTTTGGACAGTGATTTTAACCCTAACGCCAAAAACCCTAAACCTTTTACTAGCCCCATAACCTAATACCCGGGTATTACCTTCAGGAAGACCGAACACCCCAAATATTTTTTTTTTCATTTTTTGTTTTATTTTGGTCTAACTAACTCCAAAAGGTTGGAAAAGAGTTCCTACAAAGGTTTTGGACAGTGGTTTTAACCCTAACGCTAAAAACCTTAAACCTTACCCTAGCCCCATAACCTAATACCTGGGTATTACCTTCAGGAAGCCCGAACACCCCAAATATGTTTTTTTGTTTTTGATTTCTTTTCGATCTAACTAACTCCAAAAGGTTGGAAAAGAGTTCCTACAAAGGTTTTGGACAGTGATTTTAACCCTAACTCCAAAAACATTTAAACCTTACCCTAGCCCCATTACCTAATTCCCGGGTATTACCATCAGAGAGCCCGAAAACCCCAAATATTTTTTTTTTCATTTTTCATTTTTTTCTGGTCTAACTAACTCCAAAAGGTTGGAAAAGAGTTCCTACAAAGGTTTTGGACAGTGATTTTAACCCTACCGCCAAAAACCCTAAACCTTTCACTAGCCCCATAACCTAATACCCAGGTATTACCTTCAGGAAGCCCGAACACCCCAAATATTTCTTTTTCATTTTACAATTTTTTTTTTTTTGGTGTAACTAACTCCAAAAGGTTGGAAAAGAGTTCCTACAAAGGTTTTGGACAGTGATTTTAACCCTAACGCCAAAAACCTTACCCTAGCCCCATAACCTAATACCCGGGTATTACCTTCAGGAAGACCGAACACCCCAAATATTTCTTTTTCATTTTACTTTTTTTTTTTCTGGTCTAACTAACTCCAAAAGGTTGGAAAAGAGTTCCTACAGAGGTTTTGGACAGTGATTTTAACCCTAACGCCAAAAACCCTAAACCTTTCACTAGCCCCATAACCTAATACCCGGGTATTACCTTCAGGAAGCCCGAACACCCCAAATATTTCTTTTTCATTTTACAATTTTTTTTTTTTGGTGTAACTAACTCCAAAAGGTTGGAAAAGAGTTCCTACAAAGGTTTTGGACAGGGATTATAACCCTCACGCCAAAAACCTTAAATCCGACCCTAGCCCCATAACCTAATACCTGGGTATTGCCTTCAGGAAGCCCGAACACCCCAAATATTTCTTTTTCCTTTCCTTTTTTTTTGGTCTAACTAACTCCAAAAGGTTGGAAAAGAGTTCCTACAAAGGTTTTGGACAGTGATTTTAACCCTAATGCCAAAAACCTTAAACCTTACCCTAGCCCCATAACCTAATACCCGGGTATTACCTTCAGGAAGACCGAACACCCCAAACATTTTTTTTTCATTTTTCGTTTTTTTTAGGTCTAACTAACTCCAAAAGGTTGGAAAAGAGTTCCTACAAAGGTTTTGGACAGTGATTTTAACCATAATGCCAAAAACCTTAAACCTTACCAAAGCCCCATAACCTAATACCTGGGTATTACCTGCAGGAAGCCCGAACACCCCAAATATTTCTTTTTCATATTTCAAATTTTTTTTTGGTTTAACTAACTCCAAAAGGTTGGAAAGGAGTTCCTACAAAGGTTTTGGACAGTGATTTTAACCCTAACGCCAAAAACCTTAAACCTTACCCTAGCCCCAAAACCTAATACCCGGGTGTTACCTTCAGAAAGACCGAAAACCCCAAATATTTTTTTTTTCATTTTTCATTTTTTTCTGGTCTAACTAACTCCAAAAGGTTGGAAAAGAGTTCCTACAAAGGTTTTGGACAGTGATTTTAACCCTAACGCCAAAAACCTTACCCTAGCCCCATAACCTAATACCCGGGTATAACCTTCAGGAAGACCGAACACCCCAAATATTTTTTTTTCATTTTTTGTTTTTTTTTTTGGTGTAACTAACTCCAAAAGGTTGGAAAAGAGTTCCTACAAAGGTTTTGGACAGTGATTTTAACCCTAACGCCAAAAACCTTTAACCTTACCCTAGCCCCATGACCTAATACCCGGCTATTACCTTCAGGAAGCCCGAACACCCCAAATATTTCTTGTTCCTTTTTTTTTTCTTTTTTTGGTCTAACTAACTCCAAAAGGTTGGAAAAGAGTTCCTACAAAGGTTTTGACAGTGATTTTAACCCTAACGCCAAAAACCTTAAACCTTACATTAGTCCCATAACCTTATACCAGGGTATTACCTTCAGAAAGCCCGAAAACCCCAAATATTTCTTTTTCATTTTACAATATTTTTTTTGGTGTAACTAACTCCAAAAGGTTGGAAAAGAGTTCCTACAAAGGTTTTGGACAGTGATTTTAACCCTAACGCCAAAAACCTTAAACCTTACATTAGTCCCAAAACCTTATACCAGGGTATTACCTTCAGAAAGCCCGAAAACCCCAAATATTTTTTTTTCATTTTTCATTTCTTTTGGGTCTAACTAACTCCAAAACGTTGGAAAAGAGTTCCTACAAAGGTTTTGGACAGTGATTTTAACCATAATGCCAAAAACCTTAAACCTTTCCAAAGCCCCATAACCTAATACCTGGGTATTACCTTCAGGAAGCCCGAACACCCCAAATATTTCTTTTTCATTTTACAATTTTTTTTTGGTTTAACTAACTCCAAAAGGTTGGAAAGAAGTTCCTACAAAGGTTTTGGACAGTGATTTTAACCCTAACACCAAAAAACTTAAACCTTACCCTAGCCCCAAAACCTAATACCCGGGTGTTTCCTTCAGAAAGCCCGAAAACCCCAAATATTTTTTTTTTCATTTTTCATTTTTTTTCTGGTCTAACTAACTCTAAAAGGTTGGAAAAGAGTTCCTACAAAGGTTTTGGACAGTGATTTTAACCCTTACGCCAAAAACCTGAAACCTTTCACTAGCCCCATAACCTAATACCCAGGTATTACCTTCAGGAAGCCCAAACACCCCAAATATTTCTTTTTCATTTTACAATTTTTTTTTTGGTGTAACTAACTCCAAAAGGTTGGAAAAGAGTTCCTACAAAGGTTTTGGACAGTGATTTTAACCCTAACGCCAAAAACCTTACCCTAGCCCCATAACCTAATACCCGGGTATTACCTTCAGGAAGACTGAACACCCCAAATATTTTTTTTTCATTTTTTGTTTTATTTTGGTCTAACTAACTCCAAAAGGTTGGAAAAGAGTTCCTACAAAGGTTTTGGACAGTGATTTTAACCCTAACGCCAAAAACCTTAAACCTTACCCTAGCCCCGTAACCTAATACCCGGGTATTACCTTCAGAAAGCCCGAAAACCCCAAATATTTTTTTTTCATTTTTCATTTCTTTCCGGTCTAACTAACTCCAAAACGTTGGAAAAGAGTTCCTACAAAGGTTTTGGACAGTGATTTTAACCCTAACGCCAAAATCCTTAAACCTTACCCTAGCCCCATAACCTAATACCCGGGTATTACCTTCAGGAAGCCCGAACACCCCAAATATTTTTTTTTCATTTTTCGTTTTTTTTAGGTCTAACTAACTCCAAAAGGTTGGAAAAGAGTTCCTACAAAGGTTTTGGACAGTGATTTTAACCATAATGCCAAAAACCTTAAACCTTACCAAAGCCCCATAACCTAATACCTGGGTATTACCTGCAGGAAGCCCGAACACCCCAAATATTTCTTTTTCATATTTCAATTTTTTTTTTGGTTTAACTAACTCCAAAAGGTTGGAAAGGAGTTCCTACAAAGGTTTTGGACAGTGATTTTAACCCTAACGCCAAAAACCTTAAACCTTACCCTAGCCCCAAAACCTAATACCCGGGTATTACCTTCAGAAAGCCCGAAAACCCCAAATATTTTTTTTTCATTTTTCATTTCTTTTGGGTCTAACTAACTCCAAAACGTTGGAAAAGAGTTCCTACAAAGGTTTTGGACAGTGATTTTAACCATAATGCCAAAAACCTTAAACCTTACCAAAGCCCCATAACCTAATACCTGGGTATTACCTGCAGGAAGCCCGAACACCCCAAATATTTCTTTTTCATATTTTAATTTTTTTTTTGGTTTAACTAACTCCAAAAGGTTGGAAAGGAGTTCCTACAAAGGTTTTGGACAGTGATTTTAACCCTAACGCCAAAAACCTTAAACCTTACCCTAGCCCCAAAACCTAATACCCGGGTATTACCTTCAGAAAGCCCGAAAACCCCAAATATTTTTTTTTCATTTTACAATTTTTTTTTTGGTGTAACTAACTCCAAAAGGTTGGAAAAGAGTTCCTACAAAGGTTTTGGACAGTGATTTTAACCATAATGCCAAAAACCTTAAACCTTACCAAAGCCCCATAACCTAATACCCGGGTATTACCTTCAGGAAGACTGAACACCCCAAATATTTTTTTTTCATTTTTCGTTTTTTTTTTTGGTCTAACTAACTCCAAAAGGTTGGAAAAGAGTTCCTACAAAGGTTTTGGACAGTGATTTTAACCCTAACGCCAAAAACCTTAAACCTTACCCTAGCCCCATAACCTAATACCCGGGTATTACCTTCAGGAAGCCCGAACACCCCAAATATTTTTTTTTCATTTTTCATTTTTTTTCCGGTCTAACTAACTCCAAAAGGTTGGAAAAGAGTTCCTACAAAGGTTTTGGACAGTGATTTTAACCCTAACGCCAAAAACCTTAAACCTTACCCTAGCCCCATAACCTAATACCCGGGTATTACCTTCAGGAAGCCCGAACACCCCAAATATTTTTTTTTTCATTTTTCGTTTATTTTTGGTCTAAATAACTCCAAAAGGTTGGAAAAGAGTGTTACAAAGGTTTTGGACAGTGATTTTAACCCTAACGCCAAAAACCTTAAACCTTACCCAAGCCCCATAACCTAATACCCGGGTATTACCTTCAGGAAGCCCGAACACCCCAAACATTTTTTTTTCATTTTTCATTTTTTTCTGGTCTAACTAACTCCAAAAGGTTGGAAAAGAGTTCCTACAAAGGTTTTGGACAGTGATTTTAACCCTAACGCCAAAAACCTTAAACCTTACATTAGTCCCAAAACCTTATACCAGGGTATTACCTTCAGGAAACCCGAAAAACCCAAATATTTTTTTTTCATTTTTCATTTCTTTTGGGTCTATTTAACTCCAAAACGTTGGAAAAGAGTTCCTTCAAAGGTTTTGGACAGTGATTTTAACCCTAACGCCAAAAACCCTAAACCTTACCCTAGCCCCATAACCTATTACCCGGGTATTACCTTCAGGAAGCCTGAACACCCCAAATATTTTTTTTTCTTTTTACATTTTTTTTGGTCTAACTATCTCCAAAAGGTTGGAAAAGAGTTCCTACAAAGGTTTTGGACAGTGATTTTAACCCTATCGCCAAAAACCTTAAACCTTTCCCTAGCCCCATAACCTAAGGCCCGGGTATTACCTTCAGGAAGCCCGAAAACCTAAAATATCTTTTTTTCATTTTTCTTTTTTTTTTGGTGTAACTAACTCCAAAAGGTTGGAAAAGAGTTCCTAAAAAGGTTTTGGACACTGATTTTAACTCTAACGCCAAAAACCTTAAACCTTACCGTAGCCCCATAACCTAATACCCGGGTATTACCTTCAGGAAGCCCGAAAACCCCAAATATTTTTTTTTCATTTTTCATTTTTTTTTGGTCTAACTAACTCCAAAACGTTGGAAAAGAGTTCCTACAAAGGTTTTGGACAGTGATTTTAACCCTAACGCCAAAATCCTTAAACCTTACCCTAGCCCCATAACCTAATACCCGGGTATTACCTTCAGGAAGCCCGAACACCCCAAATATTTTTTTTTCATTTTTCGTTTTTTTTTAGGTCTAACTAACTCCAAAAGGTTGGAAAAGAGTTCCTACAAAGGTTTTGGACAGTGATTTTAACCATAATGCCAAAAACCTTAAACCTTACCAAAGCCCCATAACCTAATACCTGGGTATTACCTGCAGGAAGCCCGAACACCCCAAATATTTCTTTTTCATATTTCAATTTTTTTTTGGTTTAACTAACTCCAAAAGGTTGGAAAGGAGTTCCTACAAAGGTTTTGGACAGTGATTTTAACCCTAACGCCAAAAACCTTAAACCTTACCCTAGCCCCAAAACCTAATACCCGGGTGTTACCTTCAGAAAGACCGAAAACCCCAAATATTTTTTTTTTCATTTTTCATTTTTTTCTGGTCTAACTAACTCCAAAAGGTTGGAAAAGAGTTCCTACAAAGGTTTTGGACAGTGATTTTAACCCTAACGCCAAAAACCTTACCCTAGCCCCATAACCTAATACCCGGGTATAACCTTCAGGAAGACCGAACACCCCAAATATTTTTTTTTCATTTTTTTTTTTGGTGTAACTAACTCCAAAAGGTTGGAAAAGAGTTCCTACAAAGGTTTTGGACAGTGATTTTAACCCTAACGCCAAAAACCTTTAACCTTACCCTAGCCCCATGACCTAATACCTGGGTATTACCTGCAGGAAGCCCGAACACCCGAAATATTTCTTGTTCCTTTTTTTTTTCTTTTTTTGGTCTAACTAACTCCAAAAGGTTGGAAAAGAGTTCCTACAAAGGTTTTGACAGTGATTTTAACCCTAACGCCAAAAACCTTAAACCTTACATTAGTCCCATAACCTTATACCAGGGTATTACCTTCAGAAAGCCCGAAAACCCCAAATATTTCTTTTTCATTTTACAATATTTTTTTTGGTGTAACTAACTCCAAAAGGTTGGAAAAGAGTTCCTACAAAGGTTTTGGACAGTGATTTTAACCCTAACGCCAAAAACCTTAAACCTTACCCTAGCCCCAAAACCTAATACCCGGGTATTACCTTCAGGAAGCCCGAACACCCCAAATATTTCTTTTTCATTTTTCATTTTTTTTTGGTCTAACTAACTCCAAAAGGTTGGAAAAGAGTTCCTACAAAGGTTTTGGACAGTGATTTTAACCCTAACGCCAAAAACCTTAAACCTTACCCTAGCCCCAAAACCTAATACCCGGGTATTACCTTCAGGAAGCCCGAACACCCCAAATATTTTTTTTTCATTTTTCATTTTTTTTTGGTGTAACTAACTCCATAAGGTTGGAAAAGAGTTCCTACAAAGGTTTTGGACAGTGATTTTAACCCTAACGCCAAAAACCTTAAACCTTACCCAAGCCCCATAACCTAATACCCGGGTATTACCTTCAGGAAGCCCGAACACCCCAAATATTTCTTTTTCATTTTACAATTTTTTTTTTGGTGTAACTAACTCCAAAAGGTTGGAAAAGAGTTCCTACAAAGGTTTTGGACAGTGATTTTAACCCTAACGCCAAAAACCTTAAACCTTACCCTAGCCCCATAACCTAATACCCGGGTATTACCTTCAGGAAGCCCGAACACCCCAAATATTTTTTTTTCATTTTTCATTTTTTTTTGGTCTAACTAACTCCAAAAGGTTGGAAAAGAGTTCCTACAAAGGTTTTGGACAGTGATTTTAACCCTAACGCCAAAAACCTTAAACCTTACCCTAGCCCCATAACCTAATACCCGGGTATTACCTTCAGGAAGCCCGAACACCCCAAATATTTCTTTTTCATTTTACAATTTTTTTTTTGGTGTAACTAACTCCAAAAGGTTGGAAAAGAGTTCCTACAAAGGTTTTGGACAGTGATTTTAACCCTAACGCCAAAAACCTTACCCTAGCCCCATAACCTAATACCCGGGCATTACCTTCAGGAAGACTGAACACCCAAAATATTGTTTTTAATTTTTTGTTTTATTTTGGTTTAACTAACTCCAAAAGGTTGGAAAGGAGTTCCTACAAAGGTTTTGGACAGTGATTTTAACCCTAACGCCAAAAACCTTACCCTAGCCCCATAACCTAATACCCGGGCATTACCTTCAGGAAGACTGAACACCCAAAATATTGTTTTTCATTTTTTGTTTTTTTTTGGTCTAACTAACTCCAAAAGGTTGGAAAGGAGTTCCTACAAAGGTTTTGGACAGTGATTTTAACCCTAACGCCAAAAACCTTAAACCTTACCCTAGCCCCATAACCTAATACCCGGGTATTACCTTCAGGAAGACCGAACACCCCAAATATTTTTTTTCATTTTCATTTTTTTTTGGTCTAACTAACTCCAAAAGGTTGGAAAAGAGTTCCTACAAAGGTTTTGGACAGTGATTTTAACCCTAACGCCAAAAACCTTAAACCTTACCCTAGCCCCATAACCTAATACCCGGGTATTACCTTCAGGAAGCCCGAACACCCCAAATATTTTTTTTTCATTTTTTTTTTTTTTTTGGTGTAACTAACTCCAAAAGGTTGGAAAAGAGTTCCTACAAAGGTTTTGGACAGTGATTTTAACCCTAACGCCAAAAACCTTAAACCTTACCCTAGCCCCATAACCTAATACCCGGGTATTACCTTCAGGAAGCCCGAACACCCCAAATATTTCTTTTTCATTTTTCAATATTTTTTTTGGTGTAACTAACTCCAAAAGGTTGGAAAAGAGTTCCTACAAAGGTTTTGGACAGTGATTTTAACCCTAACGCCAAAAACCTTAAACCTTACATTAGTCCCATAACCTTATACCAGGGTATTACCTTCAGAAAGCCCGAAAACCCCAAATATTTCTTTTTCATTTTACAATATTTTTTTTGGTGTAACTAACTCCAAAAGGTTGGAAAAGAGTTCCTACAAAGGTTTTGGACAGTGATTTTAACCCTAACGCCAAAAACCTTAAACCTTACATTAGTCCCAAAACCTAATACCGGGTATTACCTTCAGAAAGCCCGAAAACCCCAAATATTTTTTTTTCATTTTTCATTTTTTTTGGGTCTAACTAACTCCAAAACGTTGGAAAAGAGTTCCTGCAAAGGTTTTGGACAGTGATTTTAACCCTAACACCAAAAACCTTTAACCTTACCCTAGCCCCAAAACCTAATACCCGGGTATTACCTTCAGGAAGCCCGAACACCCCAAATATTTTTTTTTCATTTTACAATTTTTTTTTTGGTGTTACTAACTCCAAAAGGTTGGAAAAGAGTTCCTACAAAGGTTTTGGACAGTGATTTTAACCCTAACGCCAAAAACCTTAAACCTTACCCAAGCCCCATAACCTAATACCCGGGTATTACCTTCAGGAAGCCCGAACACCCCAAATATTTTTTTTTCATTTTTCATTTTTTTTTTGGTGTAACTAACTCCATAAGGTCTGAAAAATGTTCCTAAAAGGTTTTGGACAGTGATTTTAACCCTAACGCCAAAAACCTTAAACCTTTCCCTAGCCCCATAATCTAATACCTATTACCTTCAGGAAGACCGAAAACCCCAAATATTTTTTTTTCATTTTTCGTTTTTTTTGGTCTAAATAACTCCAAAAGGTTGGAAAAGAGTTTACAAAGGTTTTGGACAGTGATTTTAACCCTAACGCCAAAAACCTTAAACCTTACCCAAGCCCCATAACCTAATACCCGGGTATTACCTTCAGGAAGCCCGAACACCCCAAATATTTTTTTTTCATTTTTCATTTTTTTTGGTCTAACTAACTCCAAAAGGTTGGAAAAGAGTTCCTACAAAGGTTTTGGACAGTGATTTTAACCCTAACGCCAAAAACCTTAAACCTTACCCAAGCCCCATAACCTTATACCAGGGTATTACCTTCAGGAAGCCTGAAAAACCCAAATATTTTTTTTTCATTTTTCATTTCTTTTGGGTCTAACTAACTCCAAAACGTTGGAAAAGAGTTCCTTCAAAGGTTTTGGACAGTGATTTTAACCCTAACGCCAAAAACCCTAAACCTTACCCTAGCCCCATAACCTATTACCCGGGTATTACCTTCAGGAAGCCTGAACACCCCAAATATTTTTTTTTCTTTTTACATTTTTTTTGGTCTAACTATCTCCAAAAGGTTGGAAAAGAGTTCCTACAAAGGTTTTGGACAGTGATTTTAACCCTAACGCCAAAAACCTTAAACCTTTCCCTAGCCCCATAACCTATTACCCGGGTATTACCTTCAGGAAGCCCGAAAACCTAAAATATCTTTTTTTCATTTTTCTTTTTTTTTTGGTGTAACTAACTCCAAAAGGTTGGAAAAGAGTTCCTAAAAAGGTTTTGGACACTGATTTTAACCCTAACGCCAAAAACCTTAAACCTTACCGTAGCCCCATAACCTAATACCCGGGTATTACCTTCAGGAAGCCCGAAAACCCCAAATATTTTTTTTTCATTTTACATTTTTTTTTGGTCTAACTAACTCCAAAAGGTCTGAAACATGTTCCTTAAAAAATATTGGACAGTGATTTTAACCCTAACGCCAAAAACCTTAAACCTTACCCTAACCCCATAACCTAATACGGGTATTACCTTCAGGAAGCCCGAAAACCCCAAATATTTTTTTTTCATTTTTCATTTTTTTTTGGTCTAACTAACTCCAAAAGGTCTCAAACATGTTCCTTAAAAAATATTGGACAGTGATTTTAACCCTAACGCCAAAAACCTTAAACCATACCCTAGCCAGGTATCCTTATACGGGTATTACCTTCAGGAAGTCTGAAAACCCCCAATTTTTTTTTTCATTTTTCATTTTTTTTGGTCTAACTAACTCCAAAAGGTCTGAAACATGTTCCTTAAAAAGTATTGGACAGTGATTTTAACCCTAACGCCAAAAACCTTAAACCTTACCCTAGCCCCATAACCTAATACCCGGGTATTACCTTCAGGAAGCCCGAAAACCCCCAATATTTTTTTTTTCATTTATCTTTTTTTTTTTGGTCTAACTAACTCCAAAAGGTTTGAAACTTGTTCCAACAAAGGTTTTGGACAGTGATTTTAACCCTAACGCCAAAAACCTTAAACCTTGTACTAGCCCCATAACCAAATACCCGGGTATTACCTTAAGGAAGCCTTAACACCCCAAACATTTTTTTTTTCATTTTTCTTTTTTTTTTTTTGTCTAACTAACTCCAAAAGGTTTGAAACTTGTTCCTACAAAGGTTTTGGACAGTGATTTTAACCCTAACGCCAAAAACCTTAAACCTTTACCTAGCCCCATAACCTAATACCCGGGTATTACCTTCAGGAAGCCCGAACACCCCAAACATTTTTTTTTCATTTTTCTTTTTTTTTTTGTCTAACTAACTCCAAAAGGTTTGAAAAGAGTTCCTACAAAGGTTTTGGACAGTGATTTTAACCCTAACGCCAAAAACCTTAAACCTTACCCTAGCCCCATTACCTAATACCCGGGTATTACCTTCAGGAAGCCCAAAAACCCCAAATATTTTTTTTTCATTTTTCACTTTTTTTTGGTTTAACTAACTCCAAAAGGTTTGAAACTTGTTCCTACAAAGGTTTTGGACAGTGATTTTAACCCTAACGCCAAAAACCTTAAACCTTAAACCTTACCCAAGCCCCATAACCTAATACCCGGGTATTACCTTCAGGAAACCCGAACACCCCCCAAAATTTTTTTTTTTTTCATTTTTCATTTTTTTTTGGTGTAACTAACTCCAAAAGGTCTGAAACTTGTTCCAACAAAGGTTTTGGACAGTGATTTTAACCCTAACGCCAAAAACCTTAAACCTTAAACCTTAGCCCCATAACCTAATACCCGGGTATTACCTTCAGGAAACCCGAACACCCCAAAATTTTTTTTTCATTTTCCTTTTTTTTTGGTGTAACTAACTCCAAAAGGTCTGAAACTTGTTCCAACAAAGGTTTTGGACAGTGATTTTAACCCTAACGCCAAAAACCTTAAACCTTACCCTAGCCCCATAACCTAATACCCGGGTATTACCTTCAGGAAGCCCGAAAACCCCAAATATTTTTTTTTCATTTTTCATTTTTTTTCGGTCTAACTAACTCCAAAAGGTTTGAAACTTGTTCCTACAAAGGTTTTGGACAGTGATTTTAACCCTAACGCCAAAAACCTTAAACCTTTCCCTAGCCCCATAATCTAATACCCGGGTAATACCTTCAGGAAGCCCGAAAACCCCAAATATTTTTTTTTTCATTTTTCATTTTTTTTTTGGTCTAACTAACTCCAAAAGGTTTGAAACTTGTTCCAACAAAGGTTTTGGACAGTGATTTTAACCCTAACGCCAAAAACCTTAAACCTTACCCTAGCCCCATAACCTAATACCCGGGTATTACCTTAAGGAAGCCCGAACACCCCAAACATTTTTTTTTTTTTTCATTTTTCATTTTTTTTTTTTTTGTCTAACTAACTCCAAAAGGTTTGAAAAGAGTTCCTACAAAGGTTTTGGACAGTGATTTTTACCCTAATGCCAAAAATCTTAAACCTTTCCCTAGCCCCATTACCTAATACTACCTTCAGGAAGCCCGAACACCCCAAACATTTTTTTTTCATTTTTCACTTTTTTTTGGTTTAACTAACTCCAAAAGGTTGGAAAAGAGTTCCTACAAAGGTTTTGGACAGTGATTTTAACCCTAACACCAAAAACCTTAAACCTTTCCAAAGCCCCATAACCTAATACCCGGGTATTACCTAAAGGAAGCCTTAACACCCCAAACATTTTTTTTTTCATTTTTCATTTTTTTTTTGGTCTAACTAACTCTAAAAGGTTTGAAACTTGTTCCAACAAAGGTTTTGGACAGTCATTTTAACCCTTACGCCAAAAACCTTAAAACTTACCCTAGCCCCATAACCTAATTCCCGGGTATTACCTAAAGGAAGCCTTAACACCCCAAACATTTTTTTTTTCATTTTTCATTTTTTTTGGTCTAACTAACTCCAAAAGGTTTGAAACTTGTTCCTACAAAGGTTTTGGACAGTGATTTTAACCCTAACGCCAAAAACCTTAAACCTTACCCTAGCCCCAAAACCTAATACCCGGGTATTACCTTCAGGAAACCCGAACACCCCCAAAATTTTTTTTTCATTTTCCTTTTTTTTTGGTGTAACTAACTCCAAAAGGTTTAAACTTGTTCCAACAAAGGTTTTGGACAGTGATTTTAACCCTAACGCCAAAAACCTTAAACCTTAAACCTTACCCAAGCCCCATAACCTAATACCCGGGTATTACCTTCAGGAAACCCGAACACCCCCAAAATTTTTTTTTCATTTTCCTTTTTTTTTGGTGTAACTAACTCCAGAAGGTCTGAAACTTGTTCCAACAAAGGTTTTGGACTGTGATTTTAACCCTAACGCCAAAAACCTTAAACCTTACCCTAGCCCCATAACCTATTACCCGGGTATTACCTAAAGGAAGCCTTAACACCCCAACATTTTTTTTTCATTTTTCGTTTTTTTTTGGTCTAACTAACTCCAAAAGGTTTGAAACTTGTTCCTTAAAAATATTGGACAGTGATTTTAACCCTAACGCCAAAAACCTTAAACCTTACCCTAGCCCCAAAACCTAATACCCGGGTATTACCTTCAGGGAAACCAAAAACCCCAAATATTTTTTTTTCATTTTTCTTTTTTTTTTGGTCTAACTAACTCCAAAAGGTCTGAAACATGTTCCTTCAAAAATATTGGACAGTGATTTTAACCCTAACGCCAAAACCCAAACCTTACCTTACCTAGCCCCATAACCTATTACCCGGGTATTACCTTCAGGAAGCCCGAACACCCCAAATATTTTTTTTTCATTTTACATTTTTTTTTGGTCTAACTAACTCCAAAAGGTCTAAAACATGTTCCTAAAAGGTTTTGGACAGTGATTTTAACCCTAACGCCAAAAACCTTAAACCTTTCCCTAGCCCATACCTAACCGGGTATTACCTTCAGGAAGCCCGAAACACCCCAAATATTTTTTTTTCATTTTTCATTTTTTTTGGTCTAACTAACTCCAAAAGGTCTGAAACATGTTCCTTAAAAAATATTGGACAGTGATTTTAACCCTAACGCCAAAAACCTTAAACCTTGTACTAGCCCCATAACCAAATACCCGGGTATTACCTTCAGGAAGCCCGAAAACACCCCAATTTTTTTTTTCATTTTTCATTTTTTTTTGGTCTAACTAACTCCAAAAGGTTTGAAACTTGTTCCAACAAAGGTTTTGGACAGTGATTTTAACCCTAACGCCAAAAACCTTAAACCTTACCCTAGCCCCATAACCTAATTCCCGGGTATTACCTAAAGGAAGCCTTAACACCCCAAACATTTTTTTTTTCATTTTTCATTTTTTTTTGGTCTAACTAACTCCAAAAGGTTTGAAACTTGTTCCTACAAAGGTTTTGGACAGTGATTTTAACCCTAACGCCAAAAACCTTAAACCTTACCCTAGCCCCAAAACCTAATACCCGGGTATTACCTTCAGGAAGCCCAAAAATCCCAAATATTTTTTTTTCATTTTACATTTTTTTTTGGTGTAACCAACTCCAAAAGGTCTGAAACTTGTTCCAACAAAGGTTTTGGACAGTGATTTTAACCCTAACGCCAAAAACCTTAAACCTTACCCTAGCCCCATAACCTAATACCCGGGTATTACCTTCAGGAAACCCGAAAACCCCAAATATTTTTTTTTCATTTTCCTTTTTTTTTTTGGTGTAACTAACTCCAAAAGGTCTGAAACTTGTTCCAACAAAGGTTTTGGACAGTGATTTTAACCCTAACGCCAAAAACCCTAAACCTTACCCTAGCCCCATAACCTAATACCCGGGTATTACCTAAAGGAAGCCTTAACACCCCAAACATTTTTTTTTTTCATTTTTCATTTTTTTTGGTCTAACTAACTCCAAAAGGTTTGAAACTTGTTCCTACAAAGGTTTTGGACAGTGATTTTAACCCTAACGCCAAAAACCTTAAACCTTACCCTAGCCCCAAAACCTAATACCCGGGTATTACCTTCAGGAAGCCCAAAAATCCCAAATATTTTTTTTTCATTTTACATTTTTTCTTGGTGTAACCAACTCCAAAAGGTCTGAAACTTGTTCCAACAAAGGTTTTGGACAGTGATTTTAACCCTAACGCCAAAAACCTTAAACCTTTCCCTAGCCCCATAATCTAATACCCGGGTAATACCTTCAGGAAGCCCGAACACCCAAAATATATATTTTTTCATTTTACATTTTTTCTTGGTGTAACCAACTCCAAAAAGTCTGAAACATGTTCCTAAAAAGGTTTTGGACAGTGATTTTAACCCTAACGCCAAAAACCTTAAACCTTTCCCTAGCCCCATAATCTAATACCCGGGTAATACCTTCAGGAAGCCCGAAAACCCCAAATATTTTTTTTTTCATTTATCATTTTTTTTTGGTCTAACTCCAAAAGGTTTGAAACTTGTTCCAACAAAGGTTTTGGACAGTGATTTTAACCCTAACGCCAAAAACCTTAAACCTTACCCTAGCCCCATAACCTAATACCCGGGTATTACCTTAAGGAAGCCTTAACACCCCAAACATTTTTTTTTTTCATTTTTCATTTTTTTTTTTGTCTAACTAACTCCAAAAGGTTTGAAAAGAGTTCCTACAAAGGTTTTGGACAGTGATTTTTACCCTAATGCCAAAAATCTTAAACCTTTCCCTAACCCCATTACCTAATACTACCTTCAGGAAGCCCGAACACCCCAAACATTTTTTTTTCATTTTTCATTTTTTTTTGGTTTAACTAACTCCAAAAGGTTGGAAAAGAGTTCCTACAAAGGTTTTGGACAGTGATTTTAACCCTAACGCCAAAAACCTTAAACCTTTCCAAAGCCCCATAACCTAATATCCGGGTATTACCTTCAGGAAACCCGAAAACCCCAAATATTTTTTTTTCCTTTTCCTTTTTTTTTTGGTGTAACTAACTCCAGAAGGTCTGAAACTTGTTCCAACAAAGGTTTTGGACAGTGATTTTAACCCTAACGCCAAAAACCCTAAACCTTACCCTAGCCCCATAACCTAATACCCGGGTATTACCTAAAGGAAGCCTTAACACCCCAAACATTTTTTTTTTTCATTTTTAATTTTTTTTTTTGTCTAACTAACTCCAAAAGGTTTGAAACTTGTTCCTAAAAAGGTTTTGGACAGTGATTTTAACTCTAACGCCAAAAACCTTAAACCTTACCCTAGCCCCAAAACCTAATACCCGGGTATTACCTTCAGGAAGCCCGAAAACCCCAAAAATCTTTTTTTTTCATTTTTCATTTTCTTTTGTCTAACTAACTCCAAAAGGTCTGAAACATGTTCCTAAAAAGGTTTTGGATGGTGATTTTAACCCTAACACCAAAATCCTTAAACCTTTCCCTAGCCCCATAACCTAATTCCCGGGTATTACCTTCAGGAAGCCCGAAAACCCCAAACATTTTTTTTTCATTTTTCATTTTTTTTTGGTCTAACTAACTGCAAGAGGTTGGAAAAGAGTTCCTACAAAGGTTTTGGACAGTGATTTTAACCCTAACGCCAAAAACCTTAAACCTTTCCCTAGACCCATAACCTAATACCAGGGTATTACCTTCAGGAAGCCCGAAAACCCCAAATATTTTTTTTTCATTTTTCATTTTTTTTTGGTTTAACTAACTCCAAAAGGTTGGAAAAGAGTTCCTACAAAGGTTTTGGACAGTGATTTTAACCCTAACGCCAAAAACCTTAAACCTTTCCAAAGCCCCATAACCTAATATCCGGGTATTACCTTCAGGAAACCCGAAAACCCCAAATATTTTTTTTCCTTTTCCTTTTTTTTTTGGTGTAACTAACTCCAAAAGGTCTGAAATATGTTCCTAAAAAGGTTTTGGACAGTGATTTTAACTCTAACGCCAAAAACCTTAAACCTTTCCCTAGTCCCATAACCTAATTCCTGGGTATTACCTTCAGGAAGCCCAAAAAACCCCATATATTTTTTTTTTCATTTTTCGTTTTTTTGGTCTAACTAACTCCAAAAGGTCTGAAACTTGTTCCAACAAAGGTTTTGGACAGTGATTTTAACCCTAACGCCAAAAACCTGAAACCCTACCCTAGACCCATAACCTAATACACGGGTATTACATTCAGGAAGCCCGAAAACCCCAAATTTATTTTTTTTCATTTTTCATTTTTTTTTTTGTCTAACTAACTCTAAAAGGTTTGAAAAGAGTTCCTACAAAGGTTTTGGACAGTGATTTTTACCCTAATGCCAAAAATCTTTAACCTTTCCCTAACCCCATTACCTAATACTACCTTCAGGAAGCCCGAACACCCCAAACATTTTTTTTTCATTTTTCATTTTTTTTTGGTTTAACTAACTCCAAAAGGTTGGAAAAGAGTTCCTACAAAGGTTTTGGACAGTGATTTTAACCCTAACGCCAAAAACCTTAAACCTTTCCAAAGCCCCATAACCTAATATCCGGGTATTACCTTCAGGAAACCCGAAAACCCCAAATATTTTTTTTTCCTTTTCCTTTTTTTTTTGGTGTAACTAACTCCAGAAGGTCTGAAACTTGTTCCAACAAAGGTTTTGGACAGTGATTTTAACCCTAACGCCAAAAACCCTAAACCTTACCCTAGCCCCATAACCTAATACCCGGGTATTACCTAAAGGAAGCCTTAACACCCCAAACATTTTTTTTTTTCATTTTTAATTTTTTTTTTTGTCTAACTAACTCCAAAAGGTTTGAAACTTGTTCCTAAAAAGGTTTTGGACAGTGATTTTAACTCTAACGCCAAAAACCTTAAACCTTACCCTAGCCCCATAACCTAATACCCGGGTATTACCTTCAGGAAGCCCGAAAACCCCAAAAATCTTTTTTTTTCATTTTTCATTTTCTTTTGTCTAACTAACTCCAAAAGGTCTGAAACTTGTTCCTAAAAAGGTTTTGGACAGTGATTTTAACCCTAACACCAAAATCCTTAAACCTTTCCCTAGCCCCATAACCTAATTCCCGGGTATTACCTTCAGGAAGCCCGAAAACCCCAAACATTTTTTTTTCATTTTTCATTTTTTTTTGGTCTAACTAACTGCAAGAGGTTGGAAAAGAGTTCCTACAAAGGTTTTGGACAGTGATTTTAACCCTAACGCCAAAAACCTTTAACCTTACCCTAGCCCCAAAACCTAATACCCTGGTATTACCTTCAGGAAGCCCGAAAACCCCAAATATTTTTTTTTCATTTTTCATTTTTTTTTGGTTTAACTAACTCCAAAAGGTTGGAAAAGAGTTCCTACAAAGGTTTTGGACAGTGATTTTAACCCTAACGCCAAAAACCTTAAACCTTTCCAAAGCCCCATAACCTAATATCCGGGTATTACCTTCAGGAAACCCGAAAACCCCAAATATTTTTTTTCCTTTTCCTTTTTTTTTTGGTGTAACTAACTCCAAAAGGTCTGAAATATGTTCCTAAAAAGGTTTTGGACAGTGATTTTAACTCTAACGCCAAAAACCTTAAACCTTTCCCTAGTCCCATAACCTAATTCCTGGGTATTACCTTCAGGAAGCCCAAAAAACCCCATATATTTTTTTTTTCATTTTTCGTTTTTTTGGTCTAACTAACTCCAAAAGGTCTGAAACTTGTTCCAACAAAGGTTTTGGACAGTGATTTTAACCCTAACGCCAAAAACCTGAAACCCTACCCTAGACCCATAACCTAATACACGGGTATTACATTCAGGAAGCCCGAAAACCCCAAATTTATTTTTTTTCATTTTTCTTTTTTTTTTTGGTCTAACTAACTCCAAAAGGTTGGAAAAGAGTTCCTACAAAGGTTTTGGACAGTGATTTTAACCCTAACGCCAAAAACCTTAAACCTTACCCTAGCCCCGTAACCTAATACCTGGGTATTACCTTAAGGAAGCCTTAACACCCCAAACATTTTTTTTTTTCATTTTTCGTTTTTCTTTTGGTCTAACGAACTCCAAAAGGTCTGAAACATGTTCCTTAAAAAATATTGGACAGTTATTTTAACCCTAACGCCAAAAGCCTTTAACCTTTACCTAGCCCTGAAACCTAATACCTGGGTATTAGCTAAAGGATGCCCTACCACACCAAAAAATTTTATTTTTATTTTTCGTTTTTTTTTTTGGTCTAGCTAACTCCAAAAGGTTGGAAAAGAGTTCCTACAAAGGTTTTGGACAGTGATTTTAACCCAAACGCCAAAAACCTTAAACCTTTCCAAAGCCCCATAACCTAATACCTGGGTATTACCTTCAGGAAGCCCGAACACCCCAAATATTTCTTTTTCATTTTACATTTTTTTTTTGGTGTAACTAACTCCAAAAGGTCTGAAACATGTTCCTTAAAAATATTGGACAGTGATTTTAACCCTAACGCTAAAAACCTTAAACCTTACCCTATCCCCGAACCTAATACCCGGGTATTACCTTAAGGAAGCCTTCACATCCCAAACATTTTTTTTTTCATTTTTCCTTTTTTTTTTTTGGTCTAGCTAACTCCAAAAGGTTGGAAAAGAGTTCCTACAAAGGTTTTGGACAGTGATTTTAACCCAAACGCCAAAAACCTTAAACCTTACCCTAGCCCCGTAACCTAATACCCGGGTATTACCTTAAGGAAGCCTTAACACCCCCAAAAATTTTTTTTTCATTTTTCTTTTTTTTTTTTTTTGGTCTAGCTAACTCCAAAAGGTTGGAAAGGAGTTCCTACAAAGGTTTTGGACAGTGATTTTAACCCTAACGCCAAAAACCTTTAACCTTTACCTAGCCCTGTAACATAATATACACATAATGTTGCTCTCCAAACACATAGTCTAAAAGATAGACAGCATAGCATACCAATTAAGCTGAGTCATTAAACTTCCTACCAACACATAATTTTACACACAGATTGAGCTCGGAGACTCGACTGGGAACATGTGACAGGTCGACATGCGCCGGCCAGTGCAAGCCCTTGATCAGCCTACCCCAAACCGCCAAGTCAACTGACGAAAGCGGGGGCTATCACTGTATCTCTTACCCACACCAAACCAGCCAGTTGCCTTTGGACAGACTTGTCACAATATCATTCCGAGAATAGTCTGAGCCCATGCTCCTTCTGTGCACACAACCTCTCACCCCCCCCCACCCCCCCTTCCCCCCCTTTATAGAATCTAAGATCTTCCAGTATCAAGGGTGAGAGTGAATTCAAAAGAATCCTCCACCTTGGAACCTATACTAACACTACATTCCTCAGATAACTAAACAAAAAATATCTAAACCCTAACAGCAATGACGAAAAGATAAATACTTTTCAAGACAAATTAACTCCTGACCCCACCCTGCCCCCCTCCTTTTCTCCTGATCTGTACCTCTCTCTCCTATCAGAGGATGAAAACCAGCAGGTGAGGAGAGTCTCAATGGCGAGTCATGGTGGCAAGATCTATTCTCTTTCTATCACTCGAATCCCTGCATGAGTAGAATGGTGCCAGACGGACCATCTTCTCCCACCACAATCCTCTGTGACTTTTTGACTCTATCCACTTTTAGAACTTAAAATAGTAATCAATAATCAACTGACCAACTCAGCTCAAACCAAACCCAAAACTCTGCCTAGAGAACTCTCACTTCCACGTTTACATATCTCTTTGTATCTCATGAGGACCGTGAGGAGAGCAGAGCCTAGACCTAGTCGGGTCGGGGGACTATGTCCCTTGCTCACTCTCCTCACATGGATGGTGAGAGCTGGGGAGCTATGGGATGTTTCATCCGCCACCAAATCCCCCTTACCAATCTTTATATTCCACCATCTCCACCTCTCCCTTAAACCCCCCTCTCCCTCTTCCCTTCTCCCTCTCTTTCTCTCTCTCTCTGTCTCTCTCTCTCACACACACACACACTCTCCCCCCCTCTCTCTCTCTCCCTCTTCCCCCTCTCTCTCACACTCCTTCTCTCTCTCTCTCGCTCCCTCTCTCCCTCATCTCTCTCCCTCATCTCTCCCCCTCTCTCTAACACACCCCCTCTTTCTTATTCCCTCCCCTGCCCCTTTATTTTCACCTTCACAGAGGACAAATAGGTGATCTTCAGCCTAGGCCTACCCCGGCCGGGGGGGTAACCCCTGTTGGGTCACCTATATGGAGGATTAAGAGAGACCTGAAGGGGAACCGCCATGCCCCCTAAATCCTCCCCCTCTAACATCTTTTTTAACACTCTAAAATTAGCCAGCTAACCCCACTACAAACAACTTCATCAAAAATTTAAATAATAAATACTTATCAATAACTAGTGATGTGTCCTTCAGTGCCGAGGCTTCGAAGCGTGTGTCGAGTAATGAAGGGGGCGTTTCCGAGAAGCGCGTATCGAGGCTTGCTTCATGTAGGGGTGGAGCCAAAAATGATGACGTCCGAAGCCTCGCTACCCGGCTATACCACGTGACTGATTCAAGAAACGGTTCACGGGTTTGGCGGATGATTTAACAGACAGCGAAACGCAATGGAGTCCTGCCCCACTCACAATCCATAGACTCGAGACTTGTTGAAAAGTTGTTTTTAAATAGAAATAAATAAATATAAATGAAATGTTTATGTTTTATTTGTTGTCCCCGTAACAAAAGTACGAACAACAAACTAAGTAACACATTCACATTACAACCCTCTCGATAATTTATGTCCTCTTCCCCTTTTTGACACTGCAACTGTGTCTTAAAGACAAACACCATATTAATAACTTTATCATTTCTGTATTGTATCACAAACACACGGCATCACATCCATTCATTCATTGGATTCAAAGCTTCGCGCACCAAAGCCTCGGGGTGTCTTTGGTTTATCACTCTGCCTGTTTTACATTTATTGTCCACTTGATGGCGCAATAGAGTAAATGAAGCACGATCATGAAGCTTCGGCCCAGGAGGCGAGTAATTGGATGGAAAGCTTCAATGCTTCATGAGGCTTCATCTCGCCATCACTATCAATAACTGACAATCAGTGACACCAGACTAAGCTAGCAGAAAAGAACACACACACACACGTACAAATTTTCCCTTGGGACATTGATCAAATTTACATTTCTGTCTGTCTTTTAGGGAACTGTTCTCTGTTTTTAAGCTCACTTTTGATTTTTGCTATTTGCTCTTGACACTTCTTTTTTTCCTTTTTTCTTCCCCTTCCCTTTTTGCAATCCACTTTTGTTCTTCTTTTATTTTTTTATTTTTTCATTGTTTTATATCATATTATTTTATTTTATTTTATTTTATTTTAGGGTTCCTGTGCTTTTGTTTTTCTTCCCCCCTCCCCTCTTTTTTCTTAGGAAGGACTGACTCCTGAGGTTCTCATGCCAGGAAAAATGTACCTCCCTCACTCACGGTTTTACCCACAATCCTTTGCTGCAACAGGGAGATTGATTCCCAAGGCTCTCATGCCAGAAAGGAAGTACCTCACTCACTCACGGTTTTACCCACAATCCTTTGCTGTAACAGGAAGATTGAGGCTGTGTCTCATTTCAGAGACCGCATCGTGATAAGCGCGCTTAACGGCGCTTAGCTGAGTGCACTGCCGTTTTGTACCGTTTTGCGCCGTTCTGTGCCCTTCCTGTGTCCCATTTCAGATACAGCAGCCATCGAACGGCGCATCTGACGCGTACGTGAGGTCACCACGCGGCACCAACGGTGTCCCGTTTGGCACAAAATACTAAGCGCGCTTCAAATTCGGTCTCAAAACCACACTACCCCCGCCTCTTCTTCAAGCGTGCATGTATGCACGCTTTCGTGCCGTCAGTATCCCAGAATTCTTTGCGTGCCGCTGCACAGCTGTGCATTTCAGGTGAGAGGCTGGACTCGCTTGGAGACACAGCACGTCTTCGAAGAAAATAAAAGCAATCCAAAAACAGCAGACAGTCAACTCAGGCTGTATGAGAGCATGATCTCTGAACTCACTAAAATCTGTAAACCAAACATTATAGATTAAGAGACGAACTGATCCGCTGTGTTACAACTATCAAAAACATTAGAAATAAGAAAGCTGACAAAACTACAGCAGAGTATCAGGACAACATTGAGGTTTTTTTCTTTTAAGATTTAGAGATTAAAGTTGTAAATTTAGGAGAATAAACTCATAAAGTATATAAAGTCATAAAGCTGCTTTTGTGGAGGGGGAAATGACTGAAGCTGGTCATCTGCAGGGTTATCTGTCGATGTATCAGCGGGTCATTCAGAGAGATTTTGTGGTTTCTGAAGAAACAATCAAACTGATGATTATGACTACTTATGACAATGTTATGCTGATGTGCCAGAGGATGAAGAATCTCCTTGTTTGTGAAACCTATACTGAAGCACAGTTCCTTCAAATGCTTCATGGCCCTAATTTTAACAAGTCTCTCTGAAATAACAGGTTATGACTTCATTCTCATAAATTAATGACTTTATTCTCGTAAATTCACGACTTAAATCTCGAAGTCCTTAAAGTCTTAAATCTCAATATGGCCCTCATACTCCTTCTTACAAAACAATCATTGGATGAATTGTGCTTGTATGTATCTACTATTTTGTGTCTGTGCAAGGTCGCACAATTAAAACAATAAATGCTGCGCTCCGCGGGTTTCCTTTAAGTCAGTCGTGACGCGAGCCTGAGGGCGGGGACATTTGGCAACTCCACCAGGAAGTCCTCCGAAGGTCTCCAAATGTCCCCGCCCTCAGGCTTACGTCACGACTGATTAGAAAAAAGCTGCGGAGCGCAGCATGTATTGTTTTAATTGTACGACCTTGCACAGACACAAAATAGTAGATACATACAAGCACAGATCATTCCCACAAAATTCATCCAATGATTGTTTTGTATGAAGGAGTATGAGGGCCCTATTGAGAAGGAGGATAGGAGATACTTCATTCTCTGGCACATCGGCATCAGATTGTCATAAGTATAAAGACTTTAAAAAAGAATATATGAGAAATACGTCTTTTCCACGGGGAAAAAAACTGGTGTACTTGAAGGAAATCGCTGCTTTTGTGGAGGCAGAAATGAATATGCTGAGGATATATCTGTCAATGCAGCCGTAAATATCCGTGAATGACATTGAGCTTTAATTTATGATATGAATCCATATGCAGTAATAAGGTGTTGGTGTCTCTGCAGGTGTAGGCTACGGCCGGTGTCAGAGACGTGGTGCTCGTTGGAGCTCGACTCCCTCTGGATCACAAATGTTGATCATCATCAGTTTGATTGTTTCTTCAGAAACCACAAAATCTCTCTGAATGACCCGCTGATACATCCACAGATAACCCTGCAGATGACCAACTTCAGTCATTTCCCCCTCCACAAAAGCAGCTTTATGACTTTATTTACTTTATGACTTTATTCTCCTAAATTTACAACTTTAATCTCTAAATCTTAAAAGAAAAAAACCTCAATGTTGTCCTGATACTCTGCTGTAGTTTTGTCAGCTTTCTTATTTCTAATGTTTTTGATTGTTGTAGCAGAGCGGATCAGTTCGTCTCTAAATCTATAATGTTTGGTTTACAGATTTTAGTGAGTTCAGAGATCATGCTCTCATACAGCCTGAACTGACTGTCTGCTGTTTTTGGATTGCTTGTAATTTCTTTTAAGACGCGCTGTGTCTTCAAGCGAGTCCAGCCTCTCACCTGAAATGCGCAGCTGTGCAGCGGCACGCAAAGCATTCTGGGATACCGACGGCACGAAAGCGTGCATAAATGCACGCTTGAAAACATGCTAAGCGCGCTTAGCATTTTTTAGCATCTCGTGCCAAATGGGACACCGTTCGCACCGTCGTGACGTCATGCACGCTTCAAATGCACCGTTCGACGGTGCAGAAGGGCACTTAGGTCGATGCGGTCTCTGAAATGAGACACAGCCTGATTCCTTAGGCTCTCATCCCTCAGAACTAAAATACCCACAATCCCTTGCGATTGCATACAAATTTAATGTAGCAAAACTCAATTTAAAACAAATAAACTACTTTAAAATTAACTTAAAACAACTTGAAAGTTTAAAATACAACCAAGAGACATCCATTCTGGAGAACAAACATCGAGAAAAGAACACAACCATGTCTGAGAGGAACAACACAAACTATGACACCAGTTCCACTCTGGTGATGTCTTTTGCCGTTAAAAGCACTTTTAAGTGCTGTGCACTAAAGAGCAATTCCTCTTCCTGTAATTGAGACAAAGCCCTGACAACTGGACCACCGCCTCGAGGAAGACGCCGCACCTCCTTCATTCCAAGCCGCCCACCACCGAGCTTCGACCCGCCGACGGCACCGAGTCCCAGCAAACCTTCCCGCGGACCGCCTATCTTCTTTCCCCCGCCGAGGACCCCGGACTTCAGACACGCCGCCACCGCCGCGGCGGCGGCTGGACAGCTGGAACCTTTTCCCCCTCCAACAGATTATAGACTCTTGGAAAAGAAACGCCTCACATCAACAACAACAACATGGGACCACAATGGTAAGTCTACAAAAAACCTCTCAAACACCTCAAAATTACTCTAAATAGTTACAGAATAGCAACTACCAAACTAGCATACAACTAAAACTTCTTAGCACCAAAACTAAATAGGACTAAAATAGCTCCAATTGGCTACAGGGCACAACACGGAAGTTGATCGACTCCGTGGGGCCTTCCTTGAATGAGGATGTCTAGTGTTAAAACGGCCGAAACATCCGATGATTTCAGGGTTCACTACTGAGGACGTGTCCTGAAATTTAATGTCCAATACCAGCGCTGGGTCAATGTAATGGTTTATTTGAAGAATTTTTCAAACAAATAAGATATTCCAAAATAATTAATTAAGCACTTACCTCAACACAATCTGGTCCTCTGGTCTTATATTTTGAGTGTTGGTTTATCCTGGTGCATGACTAAAGGTCCATAAAACCGGCACCTTTTATGGTTTACTTTAATTTCTACTCTAACATAGCATTTCAGCATTTGTCCATTTACCAAACTCGTATTTCCCACCTCTTGATCCCTGGGTCCAGTTTTTTACAGTTTCCTTTTTTCACCTTTTCGTTTTTGCCACTCTCGTATTTCCCACTTTCTAATTTGGTAAACATTGTACATTCCATGTTTTATCCCAGTTTTTATTTTTTATTTTTAGTTCTATTTTTATTTTCCTATTAATTTCCCCCCACCTGTATATTGTACCTTTTTTGAACAAATAAAAAATGTTTTGGAACACCTATACACTCAATTTTTATTCCACCTTTTTTTCTCATTCTAATTTACTTTATAATTCAGTTTTGTGTATTTATATCACCATTTTTTTATTATTTAAATTTGCGATTTAAATATAATACATGTGGTTCCAGTGCAATCAAAATTACAGTTTTCCTTTGTTATACAGAAGTCAACACAATTTTCTCTCAGTTTTACTGTAATATCAATTCAATGTTGGGTATAACTTTAACAGTTCCTGTTTGTACTTTTTAACGAAATAAACAGTGTAGAAAGTGATGACATAATTTTATACAACATTCTAATTTACACCTGTAAGCAACAATTTGGGAGCAAACCTTACTTATTAAACTCAAAATTGTTTAACTCATGGATTACAACTTTAGAATAGTCCAATACCTAAATAAACTACAATTCCTACTCACTTTCTAACTCTGAAATAATAATTTACAGTGAACCCTAGGTCCTCTATAATCTATATAAAAAATCTCCACTTAACTCCAAACGTATCCATCTAAAACAATGCAACCTTCTGAAAAGTCGATACTCTGGACCAATAATTCTATTTATTGATCTAAAATTAATAATCTAACAAAATTAAATTATGCAATTATTAATGAAATTGACACTTTTGACTCTGAAATAATAATTTCCAAATAATAATTTATAACTAACCTTTAAGATTTATTTTAGATCACAGCGTTGGGGAGTTCAGCAGAGTCTATGGCTCTGTATAAATATTTCCGACTTAATCTAAAATAATTTTAGGTCACAGCTTTAAGGAGTTTAGCAGAGTCTATGGCCTAGACAGGCCTGAGTGGAAGGGGTTCCAGACAGAACCGTCCACTATTGACTCTGAATAATAATTTATAAAAAATAATTTATAAATATTTCCGATTTAATCTAAAATAATTTTAGGTCACAGCGTTAGGGAGTTTAGCAGAGTCTAAAGCCTAGACAGGCCTGAGTGGAAGGGGTTCCAGACAGAACCGTCCACTTTGACTCTGAAATAAGAAATAATTAATTTTGAAATAATAATTTATAAATATTTACAATTTAATCTAAAATAATTTTTTCATCACAGTCTTGAGGGAGCTTAGCAGAGTCTATGGCCTAGACAGGCCTGAGTGGAAGGGGTTCCAGACCGAACCGTCCACTTTTGACTCTAAATTAATAATTCATGAATATTTCCAATTTAATCTAAATAATTGTTAGATCACAGCGTTAGGGAGTTTAGCAGAGTCTATGGCCTAGACAGGCCTGGGTGGAGGGAGTTCTAGACGGAACTGTTGACTTTTGACTCTGAAATAATACTTTATCAATAACAATTTATAACTAACCTTATATATTTTATACTTCAAATTCATTACTTCCAACCATAGCTTTGCTACCTTTAACAGAGTCCAGAGTCTAGACAATCTGAAGTGTCGTATTCCTTAAT